TAATGATCATGAAAATGTCTTCACAAATTTCAGTATTTTCTAGAAACCAAATGCCGTGATTAATAAAGAACTTTATTTTTCTAATATAATAAGAAAATTTGTATAATTAGTGTCTCTTATCAGTTACTAGTTCGTCTTCCAGGCGAGGCTCCGGAGGGGAGATCAATAACGGCCGCCATGATTATTTTTAAAGACTACAAGAATACCACATGAATGTCACCCTCCTAATTACGCTAATAACTGCAATATTTACTTATTCATTACTTAATAATGTTTCCCGCTTAAGACTGTTATTTAAAATATCATCATAGTTGTCTGAGCGCTGTCTAACAGACGAACGAAAAAGAGACGGATTTTATACTGTCTATAGTTTACGCGAGTAGTACACATTTAAATAAAACACTTTTACGTTTTAAAACGCGATATATTAGTTAAACTTATTTGAAAATGATTTTTAACTTCGGCCCGACGTTTCGGATGCTTTGCAGCAGCCGTGGTCACGGGGAGACGGATTTTGCTAAAAAACAGTATTGTAACGTAGCTGTGCTGCATCTTATACTGACGCATCCGTTGGCACCACTTTTCTTCAAATTGAATTTTCTTTTTAATTTAATACTATACATTATACTAAATGTATGCCAAATAAAAAGATTTAAAAAAATATAACTTAAAAAAGTATTTATAAGCATGTTTTACAGCCAAAAAAGACTCTTAAACAATATTTACTTCAAATATATTAACAGACTAAAATAAAATCTCATAGCTTCAGATATAATTCAAAGGAAGCAAAAACAATAATCTATTACCCACAAATCGTTACAAGTTAAATAAAAATGCTGTTTGTATAAAAACTGCAGTCAACTCTGAACATTTTGTGGCCTACTGCGGTTAAACCGTCCCTTTGTTGCGTGACTCTTATAACGTACACAATAAGTATCAAATTCGTATGTCACGCACATTTTATGGTGACCGAAACCGTAATAAAGTTTTCTTTATTATTTTCTGAAGAAGCCAAGCATTTAAAAGTGTATCCTGAATAAAAATGTTATAAACGAGACCGTTTTTCCGAGCGTTGATGTTTGGGTAATATGCTAAATTACTCTCTTACTTACAATATTAGTTTTCACTTTTTGGCGTCATAAGTACCATGGAATTTGTCTCATACTTCTCACTCTATGTCACTCTCCGTTCTAACTTCGAAGGAGACTTACGGCATTATATAAAATCTATTTAGATTGAAAAGAAATTTACGACACACGCAGATCTAGAACCAAAGATTTTTATTATGTATGTGTTTTATTTATTTATTCAAAGGAAGGCCCGCCAGTAGGTATTGCAGAGTATTTAATACATAATATTAACAATGTTAGGTGTTAAACTATGAGTATATCCTATTTAAGGTTTATTTACATCCATAAAACAAACAAAATGTGTCGTAGACTAAACATAGGGTACAATTAAATAATTAAAAATAGGTAAATATTACTAATAATATCTACAATTTTGTTGACACGTTTTCTGAATAATAAGATACAAGTTTTGTTAATGTACATTTTAGTTAAACGACATCTGTCGGTACTTTTTGCATTTAATAAATTAATATTCGGGACGGGTTAATCTGATCGGACAAAGCTTTATGACTTCCAATTTCGTGATATACGATAACTGTACTAAATAACTGTTGTATTTAACGACTTTGTGAATTTAATGCCAGATTATTAAACAACTGAACTACAAAATTATGACAATAAATTTATTAAATACTGTATGTAGTTTACGTGAGTAGTACACATTTAGACAAAACACTTTAACGGTTCAAAACGCGATATATATTAGTTAAACTGCAAAGCAGCCGTAGTCACAAGGAGACGCGGTCTTCGTGACCACGGCTGCTGCAAAGCATTCGAAACGTTGGGCCGTAGTTAAAATAGTTTACAAATAAATTTACTTATATATGTCGCGTTTTAAACTGTTAAAGTGTTTTATTGAAATAAATTTATTATGTTTTATTTAAATTTTTTTTCCGTTTTTTACGTCTTAACATACTGCAGCAGTCAGGTTTATTTGGTGTATTTTCGTTGGTTTATACCTTTATGTGGCGGCGTCTTAATTATTCTGGTTTTCCCTTTACGACACAAACTAAAGATAAAAATTGACATGTTCTATACCTTTACTATTTTCAGTATCTCGTAAAATATATTACCAACTAAATGATGTAGTATGTTCAAGTACCTTCAGCGTGCCATCATTTATACGCGGATTAACCTCATTTTCATAATTAATGAAAGATTACAACAAGTACGCCGCTATTAATTAAACAAACCACATTGTCGTATCACGTTGTGATTATTTCTAATTAATTCAACGACGTGCATATGTATATAAAAGATTTTAATTTCGAAGTAAGAAGCATCTTTCTATTGTTTTTGTTGACAAATTCATAAAATTGCATTCTTGGTCAAGCGATTAGTGCACTCGTTTACACATCACAAGGTCCCGAGTTCGAATCCTGTGGCGACCAAGAAGTCATTTCGGCATTTGGTTTGTTTCCAAGAACAGTTCTAGTAGAAGCCTTCGTGGAAAACGTTAAGCCGACGGTACCACTTGTTATCACCGATTTAGAGGCGGTAGAGGTAAAAGCCCGCCTACCCACACCAGAGCAGCTCGATGGGTAACGTAACTTTCTTACGTGAACGGAAACCTGTGGTGGCATTATAAGTTTGAATCTAGTTAAGATATGACTATATTATCCTACTAATATTATAAATGTGAAAGTTTGTATGTGTGGGTGGATGTTTGTTACTCTTTCGCTCAAAAATTACTGAATGGATTTCAATTAAACATTTCCAATAATATAGCTTATACACCAGAATAACACATAGGCTACAATTTATGAAGATATTGTCTAAGCTGTCCAAATTATAACATTAAGTGTCAAGTAACTAGGAAAAAACCTACCTTTCTGGGAGGTATTCTGGCGTGCGCTGCTATAAACGTTAGTTACACATAATTATGTAATGTATGATATGATAGACATCATTTAGTTTAAATGCGCGATACTACGTAATCCTAATCCTGGGTGGACGAAATCGCTGGCACCAGCTAGTTTTGCATAAAATAAAATCTATACAAATATTATATTTACAGTTTGTTTGAACGTGCTTATTTTAGTAAATACTGCTTCAAATTGAAAAAATATTTTTGTGTTTTTTGGATCATTTATCGAGGGAGGCTTTAGGCTGTAAAACAGCTGTCGTCGGATGTGACCAACAGGAACGACGACATATTGGTAAATGTGGAAAAAACCGGGAAAATATATAACTTTCCTTGCGTGTGCTGCGAATACGGTACAAGAAACCAAAAAATACGTATGAAGGAATGATTTTTCTTTGAATATTCTAAAATGTCCGCAAATACTATATGTCTATACTATATGTCTATGTTTTAAGATTGATTAGCAAAAACGTAGTCACGGACACAGCTAGTATTTAATACTATTCCTGTAAATATTACAATATTTGTATAGATCTCCTAAAGAATCCTTCTTTTTCCTAGGACTAAACGTAACATAATACTCAACGTCCTTCACGAAACGTAGCTAAGCTCTCTAAGTAAGGGCAAACAAACACTTTGGCATTTATAATATTATATGAAGGAATAACTCTTTGGTTGACAAATTTGTTTGAACTAAAATAAATGCCATTATAGATAGATACACTATACTAGAGTACAATGCATTAAGATAAGCCAGAATTAGATAACGCAATATGTACTTTCAATTTACCAAATAAAACTTTCATTCTAATAAGTGAAAATAGCTGAATTTTTTTTTGTGTATACACTAAGAAAAATTTCCTAAGTATAGCAAATATAATGATTCACTACAATTTACTTTATTTATAATTTAATAGTTTACGGAAGCTTTTATTTTTGTTAGCCTACTAGTTAGTTAGACATTATTCACGTTCATGTATTGCCCTACAATTTATTTTTATCTAAACAGGTTTTTTTCTTTTAAAATAGCGACAGAAATATAATTGCTCTGATAATTCCAGTATTATATATAAGGCTGCTAGAGGCAGACTGGCATATTAACAAAAAACATGATTTTCAATAAGGTGGAAAATAAAAATGCGCAATCAGCTTAGGCCAAAAATAATTTGTACTCTTATTTGGGTACACTTTTGGTTCACTGTCCTCTTGTAGATTAACATTTTTAGTCTATAAAAATATAAATCAGTCATAAAATTGCAATTAGGCTACTCTGCCTCTAGCGCCCTCATATAATAATTCACCCAGTATAGTATTTTACATAAAAAGATCGTCACTCTAAGCAACAAAGTGGTAGAACAAATTAGCCTTTCCAAAGACAGTGAATTTAACGTAACAGCTTCACGTAACTGTTAAACTTTTGCCTCAACTTCTCGCAAGACAGTAGCGCGACAAATGTTAAATAAATAATACTTAAACTCGTCTCAAATGTCTTTTACTTATGAATTATCTGCTTTAATATAAGCGTTTCCTAAGTTTGTCGTGATTTATGCACTGTTTTATAACGAGACCTGTGAAGAAATTTTGCTTTTATAGCTTATTTATTGTAAACTCTATTATAAAGGTAGTCGAACTTCGCCTGGTCGAAAAACCATCAATATCTACTATTGCCGGTATGCTTATTAGTAATATTATCAAGCTGAACGCGCTCTTCTCATGAACTTCTGTTTCATTTGGAAAAAGTATATTTGTGGTTGTTGAAGCATTTATCATGGACGGCTTTAGGCTATATAATATCACGCTGCGACTAAAAAATGACGAAACAGTGAAAAATGTAACCATATATAACCATAAGTAATGATTCTTCTTTAGTCTGATATTAAAAATTATCTAAAAAATCCGTACATATACTAGTATATCTTTTAAGATTAAAAAAATATATATCATACAGTGTTTGAACACATATAATCCGTATTATAAGTGTTTAGCTAAAATAAAACAGTACTTACTCTCCAACGCCTGAAACATCATCGCACCAAGAATACTGTACAGGAACAAGCACAACGTCAAAAAGAAATGCGTGAACCACTTCTTAGACCACAACTTCAACTTATTATAGAACCAGAAAGCCGTCTTTTCACCCGCACTGAGTCCACTTTTCGCCGTATTCATAGTAAAGTCTTTGAAGCCTTCGAACTGCTTAAACATGAACTCCGACGCCTTGTTATGATACATATGCACGAATGGGTTGAAATAGGGGTTGGAATGGGGGTCGGATATATGGGATATGGGGGTCTGGGGCATCTTGCCGTAGTACTTCGTCTGGCCCCAGTGTATCGAGGAGGGGGTGGTCGGGGCTCTCGCTGTGGGGGTCGGCATGGTGATGGTGATCTTGGGTCTCGCCGGCTTCGGTGGTGGTGGCGGAGGTTCACTCGGTGGTATATCCAAGGAATCCATCGCGTTAGAACGATACGCGCCTGACCGCTGTCGATGGACACTGCTGTATAAATAAACGGGAGTCGCGATCGCTTCCCGTGTCATAGGCGTGGATACATTTCCCGACGTAGGGCTAGCCTACGCCTCTTGGAAAACTCTGGCACCGTTTCTCCAAGGACAGGCTTAAGACTCGGGTATTCCGGGTTTATATAAGATATTTTAAAATGTCATTTAACTATGTAGGTATGTTTACTTTAATTAGTAAGGTGTTAAGCAAATAAAAAAAAACAGATTGTAAAAACGTTTAAACTACTTAAGAAATCTACTTAAAATTACCCCATAGAAAATAATTTTGAGAAAAAATATTATAACAATGTTCAATTATTAAAAAAGTTTATTATTTCTTTAATAACATTATTGTAATCGTCATATACGTAATGTTAAATAGTTTAATATACTGTCTATTAGGTTATAATAATAATAGAAAGATTAAAGTTTCATTGGATTTTGTTTTAAAGTTATGTTATGAAAAATATATTCTTTGACTGTTGAAAAATGACTATACACTTTTCGAGTTTCCTTTAACATTTTTTATGTATGTTACATATTTTTGGCATTTTATGTGTCAAGAATTGTCCGGTTAATATGTTCTATCGTTCAAGTTACCAGGAAGGAGTAATCATAACATCGTAAGCACTTAATTTGGCACGACGACAGGCAAAATTTCATCCCACATTAACGATTTATCTTCGAGATGATGTCGCTTTCAAAGAACCTGCGCCAGAGACGGCGATGATGCGAAATTTTAACGAAAATCTTATGCGTCAACGAGGGCGCCGGGATGATTCAGTGATACGATTTTAAAGTAATATGATATCAAAAAATAGACAATATTTTATTTATTGAAGTAAAACTTTTGACATTTGTCTTAAGACTAACTTTTGAAACCTTTAATATTTTACAATACACAAGTTATTTCACATGATGGCATTCTACGACACGAGCGGGAGTTGAACTGGCGTCCAACCAATTGAGCTGTACGTCGTCGACTTTTTTCAACCTATTGCATACATGCACCTCTGAAAAATATTAAAAACAAACTTTAAAATCTGCAATTTTATCTTCACAGAAGAAGACATTGAAGCCAGAAACGACGATTATAAATCGCGAGAGGTGCATATATCTATAGTTTAAAAAATTCAACGATGACGTTGCCTATGCCGCTGTGGATGCCGGTTCAACTCCTGCTCTTGTCGTAGAACTCAATCTAATATTATGTTTTTTAATATCGGTCTACCTTATATCTAAGAATAGAAGATTATGGAGCAGGAATGAGCTCGACTCGTGCCTCAATGCGGAAAACGGGATTTTAGCACAAACTAGCTACGACACCGAAATTCACTATTTATTTTAAATATTTCATTAGTAGGAAGTAAGTTTAAACCATTGTCTTGTTTGTAGTAGTGCAGTCAGTTTTGAAATGTTTGTTCGCTACGTAGAAATTTTCGAATATTTTTTTTAGAACCAGCCTGAAGTTTAAAAGTGGGAGGGAGCTACACCATGTCTCAGAATAGACGGTAAACCGTAGGTTGTTCTTACCGTTGATTTAGTGGCGGTAGTCGGTGAAGGTGAGGTTTTTAAATTTGTTTTTTTTGCATAAAAAAAAATTTTTTTTTTTTTTTTATTTATGACACCATGTTTAATTTTTTATTTACAAATTTAACTTAAATAAACTAAACCATCCAAAAGGTAATTAAGCTAAGTAAAAAAAATTAAATTATTACTTAATATGTACAACTCGCATACACTAGAGACAATTCTAGAATATCTTTTTTATATCTTAATATTAATTAAATTTTAATATTTAAATATATATAATTAAATCACATGTAAAAACATATTAAAGTTTACAAAATAAAAATTTTACTTCACTAGACTGCTTAAGGCCTTGATACAAATTCTTTCCGAAGTTCGTCTCTCATCATCCTCAAGTATATTTAACTGTGTAATGTAAACTATCCGATCTATTTTCACAAGGTAGGTTACTAAACTATTTATGCAGGAGCAAGAATAGAAAACATTTTTTGCGTAACAAACTATAATATTAGTGTAAAGCTATTTGAACAATAATCATTTCGTTCTTATTTTTATATAACATGCAGACGGTACTTTGTTTTGTACATAATCTAAATAGTGTCACATCATTCGCAAAGAACGCAAGAACTCACAAGTACGTACTACTTCGAAAAAAAAATTACTAATATATGGCGGTTTAAACCGTTAAAGTGTTTTTATTTAAATGTGTAGGTAGGTACTACTCGCGTAAACTATAGACGGTATTTAAAAAAATATATTTTTTTGATGACTTTGAGACTTCTGTCAGGCTATCGAGGTTCTTGATATACATACTGATGACAGACAGACAGCGAAGTCCCATCAATATGGTCTCCTTTACACTGGGCACTGAACCCTAAAAGAGAGACATTATTGGGTAAGTACATATTAAGTATCGTATTTTTGGCTATATTTCATCATTTTCAAATATTTCGTATATACGTTTTTCCAATTCGAGGAATAACAGAGTAGTGTCAGCAACGTAATTTGAAGTTTATGCGAAGATCACACGCACCTTTTATGATAGCCATCTGTGATTTAATGCGATCGATTTATTGCTGCAAGTACGTCTCTTAGTAAATAAGATTAACACTTTTAACGTTACTAACAATTAAGCTGTGAATTTCCGAATGTCAAATAGGAACCGCAGTCTAAGTTGGTATCTAAATTTTTTACTAAACGTGTCTAATCATACCTCAGTGGGAACGCAGAAATAACTACGAACGTAATCTACACTCTAGTATAAAAAAACACTTATCTTATTACTTAACAAAGGTCCATAATGTTCGTTTTCTTCAATGTTTGTTAAAACCTAAATTTACAAGGTACTTGCCGTATTAAGGTGTTTAATTACCCCGGCGTGGAATAAAGGTATTTCTTTACGACAGGAAATATACGTATTTTTAAATAGCGCACAAGGTTCTATTTTACTATTTAAATGTCATTAAATTTAAATTATGTGTACCTAGTCATTTTTTTTTAATTTATATATACCTAGTGTCTACGTCTTAGAGAATTATAGAAAATAGTAAAGTTGCTACTTCGTATCTTTGCTTAACAAATGTGACGTTACTTTTTTTAATTATACTGATTTTATTATTATCACTGAAATAGAAATCTATACTAATATATAGAGCTGAAGAGTTTGTTTGTTTGTTTGAACGCGCTAATCTCAGAAACTACTGGTTCGATTGGTTGGTTAGAGTCATCAGAGCAGTTATCGAGGAAGTCTATAGGCTATAAAACATAGCGCTGTGATTAATAGGAGCGAAGAAACAACGGGAAATGTTGAAAACCGGGGAAGTTCTATTAATCCTTATGGGTTTCCATTGCGGACGCTGTGAAAACGGTTCAAGGCACCCAAAATATATGTAGGTAAGAATGATTTCTCTTTAAACGGTCTAAAAAAGTCCGAGACAGTCTATCTTTTAAGATTAATTTCCAAGAACGACGAGACGCGGACGACGTCGTGGGTGACAGCCTTAAGTTATAGAGTTGCACAGAAAGGTTTGCAAGAAAAAAAATGATACCCAAAATAACTTTTCTACGCGTACAAAGTCACTGCCTCAGCTAGTGTATTATAAGCATAATAATATTGAATTTAAGCGCCCTCTGGGTAACAGTATGGCAATAAGATGTTTATTTGTCAATGTCATGGTAAAAAATTTTACATTATATTTTGACAGTTTCCAACTATATCCACAGACTTTAAAAAATAATCGATAACGCAGTTTCTTAAAATAGTTTAGAATATTCAACTTGTAATCAAAGCCGACAACAACATGATAAAGTAATAATCATTTTGACACTATCATTAAAAATATATTAATTTATTCAAATTTAAATGTTCGAAACAATTGGTAAGAACAGATAAAGATTAAAATATTCATATATTCATAATCGGTGAAATGATTCATCGGCTATCCTGTGATTGAAGAACATCACTATTTCTACATGATATTTTGAAAAATATTCGAACAAAATAAAAGCTTAATATACGGTTTACCTAAGTGTAGTAAAATAACATCGTTTGATTGTCACAGCGCATTAAATAATGTCTCGCGTTTTCGTTTATAGGAATCTATATAAAGAAAATGGTATTGTTTTGCCCTTAGAAACCACAATGAAAAATTTCAAAAGAGAAATCTCATCGCAGTTTCAACTACCAGAGGAAAACATTAAATTATTTTTATCTAACGGCTGTGAAATAACTGATATTAAAGTTGTAAGAGATGAAGAGAGTGTGTATTTATCCCTGGAAAACAAAGTATCTCAAAAAAGCCAAGATAATGCATTGATTTCGGAGTCTGATTCCGATTGGATATTATTAAATGTCGGGGGAAAGCATTTTATAACATCAGGGTCCACTCTTTTACTAAAGGAACCTCAATCGATGCTAGCGCGTATGTTTGCAGGTAGACATTTAATGAGCCCTAGTGCAAAAGACAAGACTGGTGCATATCTTATTGATAGAAGTTCAAAATATTTTGAGCCTATACTGAATTATTTAAGGCATGGACTAGTGATACTTGACAAAGATATAAACCCAGAGGGAGTGTTAGAAGAAGCTGTTTTCTATGGTAAATAGTTAGGTTGCAGAATACTTCGCTTTTGGATATTTTTCCATTATGTATTTCTTTGGGTGTATTTGCCTCTATATATGATTTTCTTAGTGTTCTGTTTTGCCACCAATATTGTTGTGTGTGTAAATCTAGTTAGTTCTTAGTTACATAGAAAAAGCTAACATAGACCTGTAACAATATCCCTTATCTAAGGCATTGGATACATTATGTTTTGTCCGTGTTTCTGCTTTTGTGTCACACCCTATTCAAACTCCCTATTGCCCAGACAATTACTTAACACAATGCTAGGCACCACGTAACAGGGCTAAAAATATAGTTACCTTTCCTGTAAAAACTATAGACAAATTGTGTCTACAAAAAGTTCTTTATTTTTCCAGGCCTTGATTCAATGATTCCAAAGCTCGAACTCTTGATAGAAAAATATAAAAGTCATCATGAAAATCACTCCCTTACCCGCAAGGATATAGTACGTCTAATTATTAACACTCAAACAACATCAGAATTGAGATTCCAAGGTGTTAATCTGGCTGGAGCAGATTTAAATAGATTGGATCTTAGACACATTAATTTTAAGGTATGTACAGAATATTTTTTTTAAACCTTCACATAGTAATATTTTATAGATACAGAGGAACCATAACAAATACAAACACGATGGAGAAGAAATGTTTTAATTCTGATAAATAGGCAAAGCTCAACAACTTGTTTAAGGACTTATCTACAGAGGTGATCAAATGCTATAATTTAATTACTAACAAATTACATTTATTGTTCCAGTATGCCTGTCTATCAAGATGTAATTTGAGTGGGGCAAACTTATCACATTGCTGTTTAGAAAGGGCCGATCTTTCACATGCTAATTTAGAGGGGGCGCAGCTTCTAGGGGTTAAAGCTTTATGTGCTAATATGGAAGGTATTGTTTTTATATAAATACTAGCTCTGCCCGCGACTTCGTTCGCATGGAATAGTTACTTGGGGTAGAATTTTTAATTATATTTAGGCGGTTTATAAATTATGTAATTGCACAATTATCCCAGTCAATCTATGTTGGTAGGTCCCACTTTCAATCCCACTCCCACACACCCCCCAAGGTAAGGGTCTCTCCCACCCAAAGAATATTCCGCACTAAAACCCGACCGCGCCGTCTTATCCCTTAAGGGGGGCCCCCGGTTTCCCCGGGCCCTTCCCCCCCCCCCCCCCCCCCCCGGGGCCCCCCCGGCGGCCGCCCCCCCCCCCCAGCCCCCCCCCCCCCCCCCCCCCCCCCCCCCCCCCCCCCCGCGGGGCCCCCCCCCCCGGGCCCCCCCCCCCCCCCCCCCCCCCCCCCCCCCCCCCCCCCCCCCCCCCCCCCCAACAAAAAGCCTAAGAACGGGCGAAAAGTTCTCAATGTTCTAGGTTTTCAAAAACCACCCGGGGGGGCGAATACCAATTCCATACAAACTTACACCCAGCACCCCCCCCTTAACCCTTTACAACCCCCTTTTCGCAATAATATTTAATAAAAGTTTAAGACCGATGTTATTGCTATAACAACTACTATATGCCTGCTATTGTTATTTAATTATCTTATATCAGGTGCAATTTTGAAAGGGTGCAATATGGAAGACCCTGCTGGTTCAAGAGCTGTTATGGAAGGAGTAAACTTAAAAGGTAATAGACGGGAAGTAAAAAAGTCCTCTGAAAAATTTTAAGTATATTGTTGAGACTGATTTCTTGCAAACTTTCTGTAATATGCTTGCTTATTACAACAATGCTCCTTACTTATTAAAATGCATGGTTTTAAATAGCTAATTTATAGAACAATGAGGGAAGATATTTTTTTTGAAAAAGCCATTGTGTTGATCATTATTAACTATCACTTAGCCTTAAATTAAATTTACCATATAAAAAAACTTCTGCAGGTGCAGATTTAGAGGGAAGCAACATGGCAGGTGTTAATTTGAGGGTGGCAACACTGAAGAATGCTAACCTTCAGAACTGTGATTTGAGGACGGCTGTTTTAGCTGGAGCTAATTTGGAGGTACAGTAAAAATACAGTAAAAAAATTATTATCCTAAAGTCTATTAGCCAATCTAATTAGTAATAAAAAATTTAAATCGAATAACTTCGTCGTCAAAAATGTATTTTAATTGTAGTAAAGTCTTTAGTCCTGACTATTTGATTAATACAATCATATCACGGCTTCTAAAGAACCTTCTTTAGTTAGTTAATGTAGTAAAAGGTATTGTATATTTTGTGTTATTTTTTTAATACAATTTAAACGGGATGTCCTACACTTACTTGGTTTCAGTCATGCGATCTATCAGGCAGTGACCTCCATGAAGCTAACCTTCGTGGAGCCAATCTAAAGGACGCCGCATTTGAACTTATGCTCACCCCTCTTCATATGTCACAGACTATACGATGAGGGCTTTTAAGTAGTCATAAGGCATTTGTAGTCTTGGGCATACAACAACTATGTAGGTGATGAACTTTTTAGCAATGTTTTTAGTGATGTGTAATATTCCAACATGTTTTTTATCTATTTATAATTCTTCTGAAACATGTTGGACTTCGTCTGGAAATGAAAACATTAAATGGGTGGTAGGAATAACGAAATTCCGTCCGAGTCGCGAACCACCGTCCACAGATGAAAAAGCCATGAAGTTTAATCAGTTTTAGTCTGTGCATTATCCAAAGCCAAAATAGGTCGACCGCCCATCTAGTTTAGATGTGATATGGCTGAGGTATTTTACCTTCAATCAAATGCGTGCAAATCAAAAAAAAAACCCATGCTTGCGTGTTCACTTCTGTCATAAAAAATAAATAAACTCGTGTAAAGATCTGTGTTCATTTGGATAAAGTATTTTTTACATCTAGGTAATTTAGTTAGGATTTTTTCCACTGTAGAATGGATGCTGTGTTATTTGAAGTATTAATCAGTATTGTCTGATTTTAAAACTATGTGATATTAATTATTGATAAAGATGTTTTCTTTAATGTTGAATAAATTATGTACACAACTTTATGGGTTTAATTTATCCAACTCATTGACTCACTCAGTTGAGTGGGGTCTAGAGTCTGCTGTGTGCGTTGGACTTTAACGACTACCATCGATCATGATCAATTTAGTGGCGGTAGTCCGATAACCGAAAGTAAAACTATACACTAAAATAATAACACGGGATCCCTATTTCCTATGTGATCTGCAATCGAGTTCATGAATCATAAGGCTCACGTAGCAGTATCGAGGTTCTTTAGACATTGAGAAAATATTTATTACAGTCCTTATTAATCGATTTTAGGTAAGAGCGGGAAAAATTTCTCAAATACAACTATTGTTCTCGCTCTTTCCTCTCATTACTTTTTAGTAGAGGACGAAATCATCCATTTTGAAAATCCAATCGTTTTCGTAGTATCATTGCAAAAATTTACTTGATTGCAAAATGGTACGATTGCATTATGTCTACCTCCATTTTTCGAATTGATAACAATTCGATTAATATTTTACAATCGGTAACATATAAAAGAACTTACATAAAATGTTTTAAAAAAATATCTAATTTTAATTTTAGATATTTGGTCAGAAAAAAACATATTATCCCGATAATATGTTTGATGAATAATATTTTTTTGATCAATAATAGAGCTAACATTAAAGTTTTATTTTCATGATAAATCGTTTAAGTCATAATCGATTGTTCGATTATAAACGTCGCATCACTAAGCAGTTGCATTTGTTTCTTTATTTAATCGCATTCTATTTTCGTGTGTGACGGTCTGCGACAGTCCGTCTATTAGGATTTTTATTTCTCTGAAATATATCATTTTTAGCTAATTAATAGCTTTTTTATCATCTCGCATTGTGTGTATTACAACAAATATGCAGAACGGTGAAGAAACACCGGCAGTATCGGAAACAGGTAATTATTAATGTCTCATCCATAAAATACTGCTAGATTTTAATGCGTTTTTCTATGTTACATTTTTTATGTAGAATCGATATTGCAGTTAGATGCTAGAAAAAGTTCAAATGCAATAATGTTGAACTGATTCAAAATTTCTAAAATACCCCCCACTGTATATGTTATGTTAATTTGTAACGCAATCATGGGTAAGGTTTTTATGCGTTATAATTACGATAGGTAACTAGTGGTAATTTCACTTGCGTTTATTTCGTTTCGTGCATTGATTTAGTGCGATTTGGGTTGTTTCCTCGCAATTATAGTAGGTAGCTTAATTGGAGTGTGAACATGACTCACATTTTTCTGCCCACCTATTGCGGAAATAAATTTAATTTTCTAATAAGTGCCCAGGCATTCTTTTCCGCTGGACTAAACATAAAAATAAATCATTAATTTTTATTGAAATTATTACATATTGATCTCGTATTAAAGACTTTTCTGGAAGCCACTATTTGCAAACTACCCTATTTCAAAAATGTTAACCTAAATCTTGTTATCTATTAGATGGGTCTAACGTTTTAATTTCATTTTACTAAAAAATAATGTGCCTATAGCTTTGGGTATTACCTTATCACCTGTTGCTACACGCATTAAATGAGAGTAGTGTTAACAGCAAATAAGTATAGAAAGAAACTTAATTCGAACCTTAATATTCTTTGTATTATGCAATATAATTTGGTGGGTATATTTAACTAAGTGCGTTGTTATAAACAAAAAGACATGTTACTACTCGTGGCTCCCAAACAAAGTACCTAATATTTTACTGACCGATCATTACAATTCTGCTTCATTTTATTGGTCAAGTTGATATTTGGTCTTCTATAAATAAATGGTGTTTGTACATTTTATCTATCTTAGAAATTACTGAACATTAAAATTGCTGTGATGTTTATTGATATTGCTTTCATTCAAAAAATTCAAAATCAAGTTGGTACAGGACATGTAGGTATTTTAATATTTACTTCTTCATTTTTGTAAGCAGTCTTTAATGTAAATCTTATTAAAAGTATAAAATCAACTGTTATAATAAAATATCTCTGATTAACTATAAAATGCAATCGGTGACATCACTGTGGCTTTAAATAGTTGGATTACATCATTTTGCTAAGAAGTGGACATAAACTTTTATCCATTTTTTAATATATTTTCCTAAATTCTAAATGTAGAATCGACACTTCTAATTACTGATGTACTGAGAGGGTAGAGTTAATTTAATTTCTTAACTAAAATGTGTTTCATTTTATCAAGTGCCTATCTTACAGTAGTAATAGGTATACTAATAAATAATTTGAAATTTAAGTAAAGCCCCCCGATTTTAAATTTAAAAAAATTACAATGTTATAAAGACCATTCGAAGTTTATTTAATTAAGAATGTTAACTTGTGAGTTATAACTTCATAAATCAAGTGTGAGCTTTTGTTTTACACTTTGTGTTAACAGGTGGTGTTGAATTACATATATTTCTTGTATGTGTACATGTATGTAATGTAACTTTAAAAAGTTAGTTTTTTTTTTCAATAATTTGCCTTTGATTTTTAGATTACAATATTTGGAAGTAGTATATTAAAAGATCCCTTCAATACAAAAATATCCTACTAAATGATTACGAACATAATATTACACATTACACGCAATTATAGCTCTTTTATACTGAGATGTTATGTCTAATTTACTTTAATGCTATATGTTACGCTTCGCCTTGTTTACATTCAGAAGGTCGAATATTTCATACTGAAAATAATTACTGAACATGTTCACGGTTCATATTGGCTCGTTGTGATTGAAATATTTTATTTGAACTGATTAGAAATATCTACTGAAATTCTATCACTACCAACTGGAATTTTAAACACAAATGTTTCATTGCTTATCTTCTGTTGTTGTTTATAAATTAATTATATTTTCAGATAAGCTATTAAGTTAAATTAAAAAGATAAAATTTGATGCCGGATAGCTTATCAGTTATTGTCCTATAGATTTAATGAAGGACGTCCCTTTCACGAAATTTAATGCAGGTACTTTCAAGAAAAAAGCATAACACATTTTTTCTCTTTCTATATACATTTCTTATCTACATATTTTTTTGTGAACAATTTAGGCTCAGTTTGGGAAAAGGAATTAAATAAGCGGAATTTCAATAATCATAAAATATAAAAAAATACCAACGTATGACCGATTCGCTGGAATAAGTAGAAATACTGTTATGTCAAGGTCATCAATCTCTATGCAATACAATATGGGAAAACCGTGAAGTGCTGAGCAGTATTTTCGATTGTTTCTCCCTTAAAAATAACATAAAAATGTATCTTTCGTTTTATGTGACATGCTTTATTTAAGTAGCAACGGTTTACAACCACTAACTAAAACTACTTGGCTGTACTTTAACTGATGTTAACACACAGCCTATCATAATACAATTTAGGATATGTTTCATTCCAGTACTGCCTGAAGAAGTGACGAAGCAGTCATACCGCGTCAAGGTCTGGCGTTACTTGGAGAACAATGGCTTGGCGATGTTCCCACGCCCGGTCTACAACCGCATACCCAACTTCAAAGGCGCCCAGGAGGCCGCCGTTAAATTGTCAGAGCTGGATGTCTTCAAGAACGCGACGACGATCAAAGTCAACCCTGATAAGCCGCAGGAAACAATCAGGTAAGTCTTAAGGTTCCGCTCGTTATGCAAAGCCCAAAAAAAATGCATATTTTTTTAACATAAAACTACTTTTTGCAATACATCGTTATTATTCCAGTTGCCTAGAATCTAGATAGACGAAGAGGATTACATGGATATAGGTTTTGATTTAACAATAAAAATGATTTTTTAAAACGTCAAATGTATTTTAAGTTTAAGTAACTAACCCAACATGTCGGGCCCTGGCTGCAAACACCATAGCTTAGCGTTATGTGTTCATATGTACTAAATAATAAAAATAGGACATTTAAAAATTACAATAATTAACCACAATGATATCCCCGTTAGTAGGGATAGATTATTTTACCGAGATTTCAAAATTCCTAAATGAGATGTTAAAAAATGCGATAGATATAGATTCTGTAAATGTAGATAATAAATATATAAGTAAAAATAATGTATATCGCTCGAAATGCTGCTGGGTTATTGTTAAAAGTAGTATTACTTTTATCTTTATTGTAAAGTCCCTACTTTAAGGTTACACACTTGACTTCTATTAATTTCTATCCACTGATCGTGTCGTCTAGTTTTTCTCTTCGCAGATGATCATCTAGCTACGTCACTTGTTGACGGCATGCGTCTGCTTTGCGTCCCAATTTTACGTCTATTTTCTATCGACTACAATTCGGTCAAACATTTTCGTAACCATCTCGATATTGGGAATTCCTAGTTTTTTTTATCAAGGAACTCCTATATAATACCAAGTGGCGTCTTTTTTTGTTATGACAGATCATTATTTCACTAACATCGTTTTATGAAATTTGGTTTAGCTGTCTAGTGTCCTGCTACAAATATTTAAAATTTTGTATTTCATAGTTATTTTTCACACGAAACTAAGTGTCTACGCTATAGCCACATTCAAAAATAGTCCAAACTGCTAATTTGTAGGTTAAATGTTTTGTCGCTAATTCAAGATCAGGCACTGGAAATATTTGGGGCGTACTCTGGAAATAGATAAATAACTTTTCCTAATAACATTCCTAACTCCACTGCTAGTAATATCTTTTAACACTGTATTTTTTCATTGTACGTCCCCTTTACTTTGAATTTGACCTTAAGACAAAGATATATCCCACACCGGCCGATGACACAAGTTGACCTTGTAATGAGGAGGGGAGTGCACAATACCCAAATTGTAACTATGTTTTGAAATATAAGAATATACCAAAATTTGTATAAATAAATCTTTTTTCCTTGTTTCTACGTCTATTCGGAAAACAAAACGAGATATTACATAAATGCCTTATTTTTCTGGTATTTGTATTTGTTATATTATTAAATATTATAAATATAAACCGTAATGTATTTAACAAATTTTCACATACTAAAAAATAGCTGGTCTCGACCAGGACTTTGTATTACCGTTGGAATATTAGGGTCGTCGATTCGATTTCTCATACTTTTTATAAATTTATTTTACCAGCCTAATGACTGGTCCACGAATACAACCATCAATATTCCGTTTACTTAATAGGTACAAATGTCAATTATAACCTCTATATCACTAGCTAGATAACCCGGTGTATCCTCGCGTGTTATTCGTAATGACTATTTGATTTTTAAACGTAAACAGCAGATAACTTTGTTTTGATGCATTATGCATGTTACGTACAGCGGTCGGTACTTTGTAATTATAGTTTATAATACTTATCGATTGTAAGATCAACATAATCGATACTAATTTGAGAGATGAAAGTCAATGTCTGTCGGTATGTTGTCTGTCTTTTGGGATGAAAGAGAGTGACGTATTCGCGTGACATTGGCTAATTTTTGTCTCTGTCTTAGGTAAGTGCCCGCAATTCCCAAAACCGTATTTTTTGGAAGTAGGGAGGGCGGGATTTTGCATTTTTCAAGGTAAAAAAGCTAAAAATGTAGATACAAAGTACCTATTTGTAACTATAAAAACACTACTTTTTGTAAATCCGCACCCAACTCTCGCGTCTCTTATGTCTTCTTAACTGTGTTACCCCGAATTTACAGGCTACAAAGGCTAATTTCTGAATATCTTTAAAACTAAAACTTAATTAGTCAGCTGAAAATTTTTGATCGAAGATCATTAATCCATACGATATCCGGTAAGGTTATTTTCTTGAGAGAACCACCACTAGCAAAAAATACGTAATGTCATTTATTCGCTTCGCGTTTTAAACCGTTAAGTGTGTTTTATTTATCGATCAGTGTTAATACATATCTGGAAAAATCTAATTACAATATTAGCAGTAATATGCAAATTAGGACACCTACGACCTACCGATTAAGTTGCATTTATTTTGATTTGCATATTCTATAGCCGATCGTCACAGCGGCCCAGCATGATTACTCAATCAAGTGTCGAACGGTTCCTTGCATCACCGTCGAGTTGCATAAAAGCGGACCCAGTGTACAGTAAAACGAATTTCGTGTCCAGGGAAGCGAAGGTCGCGTGACTCATAACTGACGTCATTTTGTTTTTCAAATGTATTTGAGCGAAGTCAACTGCAGTTACACCTTCATAGATTTGAGATTACGAATTATGTCAAAAGCTAGACTCCAGACTATCAATACATTCGATATAATAATAAATAAATACACTTGAGGTGTATGTGCACTCAAATGCATCGTTTGCGTCTCCTACAACTAAATACATACATATACAAAAATCTCTGGTCGTGGATAAATAAATTGAAAGTTATCTAATACATTTCGTTAAGTAAATTATTTGAACTTAAAACATTTGTGAAGATTATACCGTTCGTACATATGACTTTCTTACGTTATAGCTCTAAAATAGCTGAACCAATTTTAATGTGTCTACTAACTCTTCATAAGCTTCATATGTATTGCTAACTGTGCCAGCGACTTCGTCCGCTAAGAATATTTATTTTGGGCATCCAGATTCGTTTCCCTCTCTTCATCTTTGAAAACTTAAGCTGTTTAACCCACGACGTCGGTCGCGTCCCTTCCCGTCGTTCTTACAACTTGATTTTAAAAGATAGACATATAGTGTCGCGGACATTTTTTTTAGATCAATTAAAAATGTGTCATACATTCATTGTTTATTCATATTTTGGGTATCTTGAACCTTTTTTGGCAGCGTTGTCATCGGTAGCCCACGGACATGAAAATTTTCCACCGTTTTTTTTCACATTTCCCGCTGCTTAGTCACAGTGCAATGCAAATTATGCCTATAACCTTCCTTGATAAATGTTCTAACCAACATAAAAATAATTTTTCAATTCAAACCATTAGTTTCTGAGATTAGCGCGTTCAAATAAGTATACAAACAACTAAAGTCTTTAGCTTTATATATTAGTATAGAATTCTAATTGTTAGAACAACTAGTGCTGTATACGATTATTATTACATCTAACATAAAGACACTTGTACAAGATAATATATAGTAATAGTGACCTATGTTCTGATCTGTTAAGGTATCTTGAATAAATAAATAAATATTTGAACTGCGTCTATTTCAGTACCTGATCGATTTATTTGACTACCAACTAGTAATCTGCAATCATACACTTTCTTCCCTTTTAATTTACAAAAAGCGGTTGTCGTTTGTATGTATTCCACGTATCTTAAGTTATAATTTTGTTGGCAGAGTCATATGCCTGGAGCAACAGAAGAGCCTGTACGTCCCGGTGCCTCGTCTGCAGACTGGTTTCATGAACCTCCTGATGCTGCCGGAAGGCGAGTCAGGCCCATCCGCAATCAAGAAGACAGTGTCTCGCAATGGCATGGACACATATGGACAACCGATATGTAAGCATTTCAACTATATATCTACATCTACAGAGACGACTTAATAATATTTAGTAATTACGCGGTTATTAAGACTAGTGTAATATGAAATCTTTCAGATGGTAAAACTGAATTTGCGTTTTCATCAGTAAGCAGCTCGTTAAAGCGCTATTGCCTTGGATATATCACCTTCCATTAAATACTGTCTATATTTTACGCGAGTAGTACACACTTAAATAAAACACTTTAACGGTTTAAAACGCGATATATTAGTTAAACTTATTTGAAAATTGTTTTTAACTTCGGCCCGACGTTTCGGATGCTTTGCAGCAGCCGTGGTCACGGGGAGACATAATTTTCAAATAAGTGTAACTAATATATCGCGTTTTAAACCGTTAAAGTGTTTTATTTAAACCTTCCATTAAGTGAACCCCATGCTAAACCTTTCCTTTGCCATAAAAAATCTTATTACAAAGAGATTGACTATGTCTATATTGTTGTAATAATAATTAATACTGATTATTCCAGCTATAGAAGAGTCAGTGTCATTGGACTTGGTGGTGATGGGCTCTGTGGCTGTGTCGAAGGAGGGGTTCCGTATTGGAAAAGGAAGAGGTAATTAAATGGCTATTTATTATATCGCTGGCTGACTTGCCAAACGTTATTTTGCCCTATACTATTTCGACGAAACTTATTTACCAAAAAACGTTTCTTGCGAGTTCATCTATAAAAATTAATGAAAAATTAGTGTCGTGGACATTTTTTAAGATTATTTAAAGAAAAATATTTTTTTAACATAATTTTTGGGTATCTACGGAAGCCCTCAAAGATTTTCCGTTTTTTCAATTCAAGCCAGTAGTTCCTACGATTAGAATTAAACAAACTCTTCATCCTCATTACTATAGATAAGCATTGACAGAATACTGTCAAAGAAAACACTGTACTTGACCAATAGTAGTTACTGAATATCCATTTCAACTTGTGTACAGGTTACGGAGACCTCGAGTTTGGTCTCATTATGCACATGAAGGCGATCAAACCCAACACCCTGGTGGTGACCACTGTGCATGATTGCCAGGTAAGCCTGGCTTATAGATTCATTAATACCCTTGTTCAGCAAAGAAATACCTACTAATTTCTTTTGCAGGTGTTTGACTCTCTACCCGCAGAACTGTTTGGACCGCACGATGTGCCCATCGATATCATTGTTACACCGACACAGGTGAGTTTCTTGACGAGCGTTGTTCCTAAAGTGATGTGTTAAAATCGATGAAATTTTAATAAGTGCAAACGTTTGGATAATTTTTGTAATTATCAAATATATAGTTAACATTACACATAGGATAGTGTCAATGTTCGAACAGCTGTTTTAATTTAAGACATCTGTTTAAACATCTGCACTATAAAATGTTGGAAACATTTCGTTTTAAATTGAAACAAACAATTCTTTTCTTGATTAATAAATTCTTCGTACCCTGTCCGTACTTCTAGTGTTTTCTCTATACCTTTTTACTATACATAGAATTTTTATTTTCTAACTAAAATATTTCATTCAAAGAGGTCATTGACCTGCCATGTAACAGAAATACTCAACGTTACTGTTGTTTCGGTGCCAAAATAAAGACTTATAACGTGCTTTTATTAAATTTCTAGCTAATTCTGTTCTATTTTAGGTTAATGGCAACATTTAAATGTGCTAATCGTAGAAATGTGTCTATAGATACATTCCCCTTTTGAACAGTTCAGTTGCGCAAGAGTTGAATGAAACTAGTCGAAGAAATTTGACGATAACGTCACTGTAGCTCTATTAGTTACGAGTAGTAGCAATGAATGCTGTGGATACCGCTAGTGGATTCAGTACCTTAGGACGTCCACAAAATCGGTTTTAATTCTGTTTGTTTTCAATCAATTTATATCACTTTTTGTTTGTTTATTAGTATATATAAATATCTGATTACTCTTACTAAACCACTAGAATCTAGATAGTTAAATTATTTTAAGTGAACCTACAAAGAGAAACATAAACTTCCAAAGCGAAAATAGATACACATCTTAATTATAATCATAGATCAGCCCTTCCATCAAATATCCAATCGTGTCGGTCACATAAAAAATTATTTAAAATCTACAAAATGTTCTCAAAAGTATATTCAATGCAATTCTCTAACAGGTAATAGAAACACAGCGCATGAGCAAGCGTCCCGTGGGCATCATCTGGCATCTGCTGTCAAATCGTCGGCTGGAACAGATGCCGGTTTTGGCCCAGCTTCGCGACATTGAGATATTGTAAGTGATTATGATTGATTTTTAAAACATATTGACCCTACAGAATATTGATGCCTTATCCTAAATTAAAAAGAATTCAGTTAGTATACATATATAATGTAAACAAAAATACATATATACTAAATTAGCTAGTTTTATAATAAATAAAATCTATATCATGTCAGCTTGACGCAAAATATAGACTATATTTTGTGTTAAGCTGACACTAACACGACCTTGAAACTTGGTTAAGGCTGAGGAAGGAGAGAGAGCGGAGCTTGAGAAGATGAAGGGTTTCGTAATTATTATTTCTTTGTGATCCCAAAAAAAGGGATAGGGAGGTATACCTCCCATACACCTTTTTGATGACACGGAACCCTTCGTTTGGAATCGAATCGAATCGAATAACATTTAGTTAACTGATCTTAGTTTAGAATTTGCATCGAATATTTGTCACTTACTGAGGAATTCAAATGTTTAATTTACACATATACGTATATATATTGACGATTAAACAATGTACTCTTGATCTTAGATACTCGCCACGTTCTCGTCCCGCTGATGATCCTCCAAATACTATTTTTCTTTTGTCTTATTACAATTTCTTTTATTGTCTAACTAGAGCGGGTCGTGATTGCACACTTAAAGAGGTGGACACTGATATCGAGGACCGCGGAGGTTCACGAGCACGAAGGCAAAGACGGCGCACGCGCTCGCACAAAAGCCAGAGTGAAGGAGAGGTAAGAAAGAATTACAGCTACTAATACTCGTATATGAGTATTAGTAATGTTGCAGATAACAGTTCAGTTTAAAATTTTGGTTGTCGGGTAGAACACATTTGAATAAAACAACGTTAACGGTTTAAAACAAGAAATATATTTTAAAACTATAATATTTTCCTCATGTATTAGAACATGATGGCATTATACAAATTAAAAATAGATTGAAACATTTTTTATGATACCGGTAGGACCGGACTCCTCATCCTCAGTGTTCCGTGCTGCGGCTCTTACCGTGATACCGTGTTCTAAAAGCCATTATCGTTTTTTTTTCTATCCATTTAAACATCGTGCAATTTGACTTTTCGTATTAATATATGATTTTGCTTGATAACCTAACATTTCTGGACAAAGAACAAATTGTTTTTTCGTTTTTATAGGATTTACCCATCACAAAAATGTCCGAACATGTAAAAAAACTTAACTTTCAAATTGTACTGTCTAACTACCAAACACATTTATTCTTATATCGTCGAGATTAATATATTATTGTGATGGCAGGGCGGCAACACAACAGAGAACGAGGAGAAACCAAAGTTCCGACGCACGCCGCGCAGGCGCAACAGTCAAAAGTCAGCCAGCAAGGAGAACAAGGAGGAGAAAGAGAACGACGGAAAGGAAAAATCGCGTCGCCCCAACCGCCCGCGAAGACCGCGCCCAGTGATCGACTTCTCAGTAAAAGTGAGTTTGTTAGCTTCTGTCATTGTTTGCAATATTATCTATTACTGTGCATGTACTATTGCAATATTATCTTTGCGTAATTCCTATAGTAATATTCCTTATAATACAAGTATATCCTGGAATCAATTATTGTTATTTAATTACTTCATAATATTGAATTCTATTCGAGTAGATGTATTGTTTGATATGTAATCCATTGTGCATTAAGTTTTTTTTTTATATAGAATATATATTTAACATTTATTTTAGATTTCATCAATTATTTTTTTTTAGATCTCAAACATCAGTCCTTCAACAAGAGTACGCGACTTGAAGCAAGCGCTGAACGAACGCGGTGTCAAACCGCAAATGATGACCTGGAAGGTAATCAAATTAATAATTTAAAAATGCTTAGTTCACGTTTGAAAATATTTTAACGTTTTATTTCGTCTTTTTCAGGGATTCCGCGGTTTCTGCTATTTGCATTTCTACAAAGTACCACAGAAGGTCAGTACTGTACAACATTTACAGTCTATAATGCTATGACAATGGTCAATTGTAATATATTATTAACATACATGTACATATAAAATGTATACAAACTAAGTGTAAGTACCTTGCATCCTGACCGACATAATGAAGACTATTCATCTGTAAATAAAACACTTTAACGGTTTAAAACGCGGTACATATATTAGTTAAACTTATTTGAAAATTACTTTAACTGCGGCCCGACGTTTCGTATGCTTTGCAGCAGCCGTGGTCTCGGGGAGACGATTTATCAATCATTTATTTATGGTCGTTGACACTCGGCAACCCGTAGTGGGTCTTAGCTCGGCCTACGTCTTAGTCTTGGTTATTAATTTACAGGGTGAAGGCGACAACGTGCAAGTCCCTAAAATAGAAAGCGTGATAAGCGCTCTATCAGAGATGAGCGTCGGTGGGACAGGGGACGAGAGCAATGAGAAACCACGTCTACTGAACGTGGAGCCAGCGCCCCCTAGGTCACAACACACCACGCCGGCCATTGAACGGTCGCTAGAGGTCAGTCAATGAATTTAGTTTTTTTTTTATTGCCTGTCTTCATCTCACATCTATATAGATTCCAATATCCTAGGTTCAGTCTCCATGGTTTTGGAAGCTTGTTTACTTTGTTAGGGAACATATAAAAGGTTTTTTTTAATATGTAGAGCTTATGTACGCTTGAGGTTTACTTAATTTTTAAAAATATTTTGATCGTGTAGGACACGGTAGCTTAATTGGTTAGATGAACAGCAACACGGAACGCTGACGATGCCGGTTCTAATGCTGCCCGAGTAGAAATTTTTTTCAATTTATTTTCGATTTTTAAATTATTTACTGCCAACTGTTCTAATCAATTAAGCTAGCGTGTCCTACATATAAGATATATGCATCTCTCGCGCAATATAATTTCAACTTTAACGGAACGCTGTGGATGCCGGTTTAAGTACTATCTGTAACCATTTTTTTTAACTTATATAGTTACATCTTATAGTTTGAAAAATATTATAGTCGAGACATTAAATGTTACATTGTCTCTATTGTTTTTTTTTTTTTTAATATATATCAAAATCTCTTTGTTCAGGTCCATTAATCTCAAAACAGCCAACTCACGTCGCACGAACGTTGCTCGCTTCAGCACGGAGCATTCCGATACTAATATTTTTAGGATAAGGTTGATTTTTCTTTGGCTGGCCATTGTATGCATTTCTGATACGATTTTTGTCAAGGCGATTAGAAGAATTGTGCAATCTATATTTATCTGTTAGCCAAATTGTTTTATTTACGATTTTATTGTTTTTTTCTAGAGTTTAATACTATTAATTGTTACAATTTAAATGAATTTACTCATTGGTTGCTTAGATTTTCTTACCTTACTATTCTTGTCTGTTAAATCTTGATCTCTTTCATAGATCTCTGCTTCTATTTACTTTTTTTCTTGCTTATCTATACTTCTTGTCATTGAATTTGTCTAACGAGTGACAGCGATAAAATGATATTTAAGTGTTTCTCTTTAATCGCTTTATCGTAAGCGATGGTGCATGTTTTGTTGATTCGAACGAGCTCGGAATTATGTTTTGTTACAGCACCAATGGCCGGCGCGTTTGTTAGAGTGAAATATATTCTCTAGTCTTAGAATTTAATCTACTCTTGTTTTCAATACTTTTAAGGATTCTTCCACCTCGTATAGATGCTACACTAGCGTAGATGGAGTATATATTTTGTAAACTATTAAGGTGCTTGGAACGGGTCTCCAAATTTTCAAATTAAGGGATTTGATTAGTTATAAGGTTATTTATTTCGTTCAATTTGGAGGTCCGTTTGTAATTTCGTGCCAACTTGAATGAGATATATATTTTAGAGTCGCAGCGCAGTTTTCGGTATCACTACCTATCATGATAGAATTATTTCAATTTTTAAGTTAATCTGTGCTGGGATTGTTTAAGACTATTATAGGCAGACAGTGCCCATACATAGATACGAGACATCAAAAGAACGATCCTATTTTTAGATTCGATAGTGATCGAAAGCTTGTACTAATTATGATTATTGTCCTATGTCTTGTTATTATCAACGACTTCTAGGTCTAATGTTATATATAACAACATATCTATGTTGGTACAGAAGTACTGCTACTTTTTCAGTATTAGACTTATGGATTTAAGATTCCAAAGATATGCAGAGAAATTGTGTTTTTATAATAAGGAAATTGATTTGTGATAATTCCTTTCCTATCTTATTTGGTATAATAAATAGAGTAAAAGAATTTCTTTTGGATTGAGAACATGGAATTTCTTTGTGTAGTTATTTTGTGAACAAGTTCACATGGTCTATTGGTCTCTTATAGTGAGAAAATTATACCGTACTTTAGAATTAACTTTTTTCGATTAATGTATTTTTCGAAATTTTACGTTTTTTTTTTCGCGAAATAGATACTATTATGACGCGTGAATGAAAATGAGGTGTGCCCTATTGTTTCGTGGTTATTTTTCACTGTTATTATAACGGTGGTTTTTCTGTATATGTTAAATACAGTTATTTTCCCGGTTTAAGCTACATGTTCATTCACACGTCTGCATTTCTAATACTGCCTCAACGTTCAATTGCACACAAATGTATATAAGTCTATCTAATCGTAACCGGGTAGCGAGCATTGTTGGTTCTTGTTTTATATTTTTTTAATAAATTTTATTTAACACCTTTTCGTTTTTTTACTAAGCTCTATACTATGGAAATAAATGTTGTGATGTATTTGCCGTAGTTGAAGTACGAATTAAAGTCTATTTTTCTAGTTCATTGATGTTTTATTTGGTACCACTCTTCGAAAATAAATAATAATATTCCCACGATAAGGGATTCAGAAACGAGTTATATCGATGGTTTAGGTTTGAAGACCATAGCTATATAAAATGAAGTACTTTTATTACACTACTACTTCATTTATTTATTAGGATATTTTTTAAAAGACTTCTCATGCTTCTATTTGAAACTTGGCGCTTAAGTATTATCTCTATCTAGAACGTTGAACTATAGTTAAAATAAGTAGAGAATAATCTAACTATTATATCTCAAGTTTCAAACCGTTAAACCGTGTTTTTTTTTAATCGGCACTTCAAGACCTAAATAAAATACAAATTATCAAGATTCTTTATTCTTCTGGTTCATTTACATTTTCGTCCCTACTGGACTCATAGGATGCACCGCGAAGTGTCTTCTCATCGTGGTGTCTTTTTCCCTTTGCTGAACGCTTTTTACCCTTCTTTCCTTTAGATCTGCCTTTGGCTTTTGTTTTTTCCTTTACCTCCTCTTTAACGTGCTTCGACTTAGGTTTTCGTTCCTCCGATTCACTAGAGTCATCTGAGTCGGCTTTTATTTTTTCCGCTTTTTTTGACGCACTGTCATAAATAATCTATTACTTATTACTCTGTTTTACGTTAACTTTAAATTAAAGGATGTCCACACCACTTAGCCTAGTCATATGGTATTATGCGATGAAATTATTTATTAGTGTAATAATGTTTGAACTTTCAATATAATTGTTACCTTTCTTCTCTTAAAGTGTCCTTTTCATCGTCACTGAAAAGAAAGACGTCTTTAGAATAGATCCAATCTCAAGAACTAAAATTCACACACACACACATACACACTTATTTACCTATCGTCCTCGTCGTCTCTGTCGTTATTTGCGAGACTGTAATTTCAATCTTTAATGGATTAAACTATTAAAATAATAATCATAATGACTTATTATGGTTAGCTATTTAATACATATTTACAATCAAGAAAAAACTGGTGTAAAAGGATTTAATACTTAGTTCAAGTACAATTTTTACTAGTCGTCTAACTGCCACTCAACTGCAGACAAAGTTTATTGTTAAATACGTTCGACCGTAGTCTGTTTTAATACCACCCCAGAATTACTTTAGAAACTAAGCCGTAGGTCCCCATTATGTGTGTGTATATATATTTTACTGGAAAGTATTTGGGTATTGAGGTTATGTTAGTCCCGGTGCCAGAATATAGACTAAGTAATTATTCACATATACATACAATATAATTGTATACCTTTCGGTCTTGTCATTGTCCCTGAAAAGTGGAATTAATTTAAATAAATATATACTTATATGTGTGAATTAAACATTCACTGAATTATTAGGTATATAATTATTTTTTACTAACTCATCAACGTTACTCCAGTCAACTGATATTTCCTCGTGTGTGATACCAGTACGGAAGACTCGCCTACAATTTTCTCTGAAATTAAAAGCGTGTTTAGAACTTTGGATCCCTCCCTGAAGAGAGAAAGGTAGACAAGTTGTGAGGTTCTCTTGATGATAGGTGAAGGTCTTATTACATGTAATGGTGACGCACTGGATGGAGCTTCTATGCACCTATCACTAATTTAAAATTCAGATTTTTCGGACGTGTCCAACGTGTTTAAAAAAAACTATGGTATGGTAAACCACCAGATCCATAAATCAGAAAGGTACCAATGAACCAACTAATATAAATGGTATTTATTAGCGTGAATTATACTTACTCCACTTCCTTGGTTATAGAACACGAGATGAACTGACGGTTTTTATAGACACTAGTGTATAAGAATGGTCCATGGCAGCTGTGAGTCTTAGGGTCGATCTTACAAGCTGATATCACGCCTACAACACGTTCCTTGCCTTGGTATTTTACTATTAGGGGTCCGCCGTGGTCATTCTGAAAGCATGGACTTAATTACAATGAACTTACGCCGAAGCTAATCTATTTTTTTCTGAGTACTGGCAAACACGCAGTAAATATATAATAAAACATAAGACGTGAAATACAGTACCTAGTTGCCAAATCATGATACGTTAGATTCTAATTAATAAAAAACAGCCTACGAATATATTTCGCGTTTCTTAAACGGTAACAAGTATTTGATTAAATGCCTCAATAAGCTTGATATACAAGTCGAATTATCTGCGATTTAAAAAAGTTGCGTTTATGTTGTACAACAAAATACCTTTTAAATTTTTTTGCGACTGATTAAAATAATTACCATCATCAGCGTTTAGTGGCATCATACCTCACAAAATCCTCCTTGTTTGTAAGATCGCCTGGCTGTATAACCGTCAGGGTCTCTGAGATGTCTACCTATATCTATGGGTACTAATTGTTGGTCGTCTGTATCTTCCTGGTGTCGTCTCGATTCCACGTCTGTGCAGTTTGCGTATTTTTTCTATAAAAAAAAGGCAATCTTATTGCATTGCCATAATGTCGTCTCATAATCTATTTTATTTAAAGTTATCTGCTTTAAAAGGAACTACATTTAATACTTTAGTATCTTTTATAAGAAATATATAATAACTAGTGCTTTATTACAAGGTTTTACTTACATCACAGATTTCGCTAAGCCGCTTCATGACATCCTTCGTGCAGACCATGTATTGTGTTATTATGCTTCGGAATCGTTGCGCCCATTTCTTGGCACACTGTTCGTTATCCATTACACATACCTTTGCTTCTTGCAAATATTTCGAGTTCTCTGGTATATGAACACTATCACTTCTGTACACACCCTAGTAACAGAGTTATCGTTTATTTTTTTTTATTTGCTTTGCCCTCTATTATAGAAAATAAATAATATAGGGTGCAAAGTACTTCCCTGTGTAGTACCCGTACCAAACCTACCTCTCTGAATTGATTACCACTTCCCCAGCCAGCAATGAAGCCTTTAGACCCTGCCTTCTCTAATTCCCTGCTAACATTATTGTAACAGACTAGGTCAGTAGCGAATTCACAGCCAGACTCCGTCACGCCTAATTTGAACGCCTTGTCTACCTTCACGATAGCAATATCATTTGCTGACCACTTAATACTGTCTTGGAAGTCGAACTTGTAATCTGATACAAATAATAGCATCTCAATTACCTATAGTAATATTATTTTGGTATGATTATGGTCATGGTACCTACTTACTTTTAGGAATGCACTTCCAGACAACTTTCCGTCTATGCTTACAAACGCAGTCATCTGACTTGTAATCAAAGCTATCAACGAATTTAGTAGTTCCAGATACAATGTAGAAATGATCAGCATCTTCTACACACGCAGCGGAGGTTAGGACATAAAGGGGATGAACAATTACACCTCCACATAGCCAGCCTCGATATTTATGGGCTTTAGCTGAATCTTTTGTTAATTGAAGATATACCTAGGAAATACGTAAAGAATATCTATTTACAAGTAATCGTCACTATTAGTATAATAAACACTGTAAAACAATGTTTACTGATTTACCATGTAAGGACGTTTTCCAACTCCTACTCTTTTGCTGTATAGGATTCTTCTAGTGTCTACGATAGTTGTATTTTCATATTCCCAACCTTCATCAGCTATTTCATCTTGTGTGTGGTTGTGTCCGTCACCTTTATTATGACTTTGCACTGCTTTAGTGAGATGGTCTTTGGTTGCTTCTTTTACTTGAATCTGAACCGTCTTTTGATCTGTCTGTGCCGGTTTAGTTGGATTCGATAAAGCTATTCCTGTAAAATTTGTATATACAGCACCTACTTTTCTTTCGATTCTTATTATAAAACTCTTTACAAACACGCGATAGTATAGACACTATATATTTAAGCTCAATGCGTGTTTATAATCAATTTCTATATTGAGTTGAAAAACGTTAATTTTCTTACCTATAGTTAACAGGAAACATACAGTCGCGATGGTAGTCGCCATTTCAAACCTAAAGCTAATTCCTGAAGGCAATATTATTGATACCTTTCAATAAAGTTTTTAATTATATGGGCCATTAAATACATTTATTAAATCAGCGAACTATGAGATTAATAATAATAAAATATTAATTTCGAAGTCTTCTATTTTCATTTAATTGATTCTGAAGTCGTCTGAAGATTATATTTAAAATAAAAAGTAAAAAATAGAGATTTATTCTGGCTTCACTGATGATATGCTATCCTATCCGATCCTAGGTCTTGATAATCACAATGTTTAAAAGAATTGTAAATTCAAATTAAGTTAACTTTAGTCATAATATTTAAATAATCAGACTTTTATAAGAAGAATATCTATGTTGAAGCATTCTGTATTTACAGACTTTTTATTTTTTTAACTTAATCACGGATAGAAAATACAAATAAAACTAGATAATATTAGAGAAGTAAACATATATTTCAGTTATCAGACGTCTTATTAGCAATCCTAACATCATCAGCTCTCATAATGAATCCACTTCCAGCGAATACTTTATCATCGACTGCGCCATGCTGTTTAGCAGGTGTTGATGCAATTTCGTTCTTCGCCGGACTGGAAGAAATATTTCTTCCTATTAGATATTTTTTATAAGACTGTTATACACGTATAAAATTTCGTAGGTAAAATGTTATTTAAAAAAGCCTCAGGCCTCCTAAGTCTTATATACTTGCTTATTTTACTATTTGTGGAAGTTGATTTTTTTTGAAGTGCTGTTGTTTTCTTATATTTCTTAACATAAATGAAAATCAAAATCCCATCTCCACGAAAGAGACTGTTTATACGACTAGATTAACGCAATTTTGAGTACCTTAATGTAAATTGTAGTATCGAATAACAAATAAGTATTACCCATCAGGATGATTCTTCCAAGACAAAACCTTTTCTACATGCGTCACACCTGATCGGAACTGTCTTCTGCATTTTGGCCTGTGAGAGAATCAGTTAGTATTTGGCTCCATTTTAAGTAACTATTCAAATATTAACAGAAATCAAATTGGTAACAAATAAACTTGTACCTCGATCTAAAAACTTACTCTACATCCTTGTAAATAGCGCACGATATGAACTGACGGTTTTTAAAGACACTGGTATAAAGGAATGGCCCGTAGCATTTGTTACTCCTCTCTTTAACCAGACAAGCAGATATAACTCCAATTACAACCGAATTTACTCCATCTCCATAAACCAGCGGACCTCCATGATCATTCTAGAAGTAAATCAACGTCAGTATAAGTACTAATCTTGTAATTAAATATCCTTTCTTATTTTCTACCTCCCTAGTGAGTTTCATAACATTGATTTAAAAAACTACTTAGTACTTAAGAGTTTTGTCCAAAGCTTACCTCACAAAAACCACCATCGGCTTGAGACACGTATCGTCTCGTATTATTGCTACTCTCGTTATGATAGGCTGAGTGCATCACCAAATTTGTTGGAATTTTCTCGGAACGCATCACCTTTATTTCACGTCTCATGTCTTCTTCATCAGAGTAATTTATATCCTGACAATCTACGTATTTCTCCTGCAAAGATTTTGAATACGTTAAAACGACTATTTCCAGTTAAAGTATGTTTTTTTATTAATAAATGATACGTGGTGATTAAAAGAATTTAGTAAACGCAACATCCACTCTTTATTCTCTCAAGTATAGGAAATAAATGTGATTCAAAAAGTAGACAAGAAAGGAGAAACTTCTAAACCATACATTACAGATCTCCGACATTGTTTGTCCGATGTCTTTAGTGCAAATCATATAGTTATCAATGATATTGTGGTAGCGTGACCCCCAGCGACGTTTACAACGGTTCTTGGGAATTATCTCAACGTGTGCATCTAGCAAGCTCTGCTGGTTTTCCTTCCTTCTGTTAACCCACTGAAAATTTAAATTTTATTTCCTGATTAGTTTGGCTCATATAACCTTTTATAGCATATGCTGTTCATAATCTGTTATTTTCTATCTTACCTCATTATACCTAGATGTCGTTCCCCAACCAGCAATAGTAACAACAGTACCAGGATTTTCTAAAGTTTGACTTTGGTTATTATAACAAATAGGTTTTGGTACGAAGTCGCACCCTCGGATGCGCCTATTAAAATCGAACCCATCCTCAATTTTGACCACAGCTATGTCGTTGTTCATCCATCGAATGTTATCATTTTCGTGCCCATCAAATATATAATCTACAATTAAATTGTTATTAGCAAGAAAACTTATGTCTCAAAAAAGTTATATATGAAAAATTACTTTTAGGAACACATTTCCAAATCGCTTTTTTTGCTCCATTCTTGATGCATGGGTTGTTGTAGCGGTCGTCTTCATCAGAATATCTGCAGAATAATAGATCTATTAGCACCTGTATCTATTAAGATACACAAGGTTGATCATATTTCATATAATATATGAGTAAGTAAATCATTATGGAAATATTACTTATATGTCCCGGAAACGACGTAAAAATGTTCAGCATCTTCAATACAAGCTGCTGACGTTAGGATGTATTCTTCGTGTATGATGACTCCACCACACAACCAAGTTCGATAGTTAGGTTTCTTTTGATTGCTTCTTGGTAATTTTAAATAAACCTTTAAGCAAAATGTAAGTCACTTGTCTAGCTTAACGTTATTTGGAAATTTGTTCTTATGTTAAAATTTGATTATACCATGTAAGGGCGTCCTTCCGTGACTTCGTCGCCATTGATAATTCGTCTGGTTTCGTTCGAATTCAATAGTTTGTTAATTTCAGGTGGTATGTGAGTTGCAACTTCTAGGGCCTCGGTATCTGAAAGATGTTATGAACTATAATATTTTTTAGAAACTTTTACAATACAATGTTACGTACATTTAGAATTTAAAAAGTTTTATTAAAAAGAAAAAATATTTAAACAAATTCTTATCTAATAAGTTTTTGTACTTACTAAACACAGAAAAGAAGATACTACATATAAAAACATAAGGCTTCATTTTGATAATGACGCCGATACGTAGAGAAATGTTCAAGAACAAATAATCTATTTTATTAATTCCAATTATATGCCTTGCATGCAGAAATGCGTGATTTATAAAGAAAATTAAATGGTTGTCGTCAATTGATTGGAATTCCTGAGGCTGAAAAAACTTCCTTTATATTAAAACTCAAAATACCCTTTCAGTTCATATTTTATCCAACTATTGAGGAAAATTAAACATAAAAACTAGATAAATGACAATAATTGTTGAGCCTATTTTTATTTAGATCAGTAATTTTGATAAATTCAAATTTATTAAACATATTGCAAAACCTTAAGCATTTGGCATTATTGCTTTTATTATTTCTACCAATACAAGAAGATCATCAAACAATACATGTATTCTTACCTACGTATATAACTGTTATAGCATTATAATTTCAGTACCTACTTAATGCTTACGACTTATAATTGTAATTTTTATATTTGCCACTCGCGATTGAAAAAGACAATATATTCATATAGTTTATTGAAATTAAATCGTCCTATTCTCATTACGGCCTTGGTCTTCTGAAGCTCTCAAAACAACTCCACCGTGTCGCATTATACTGTCACGCGGTGTCGTTTTAATAGCCCTTATGTCATCTGTTGTGTTACTCTGGGCATCTTTGTTGCGTCTCATTTTTGTTATTTCATTCTTAGCTGGCCTGAAACAGCATAAAACGTATTTTTTTCATGTCTTTTTACCAAATTATTGTTATTTTACTAAGATTATTTGCAATAAGCTGTAGTCCTTAAGCCAAATGTTGTCTAATTTGTTATTTGTAGGAATTGTTTAATTAAATTATTTTCAAACTTCTTGACTACAACAATTCAGTTGTTCCACCACTTAAAAGATTCATAAAGGATATCCCCTGGAAAATATAGAGGTATCAAAAGTGGGAATATTTTTTAAAATTGTTATAGGTACATACCCATCGGGATGGTCAACCCAACTTATGTCTTCTTCTATGTGAGTTTCGCTTGTTCGAAACAGTTTAGAACAATCGCCCCTGCAACATATTAATGATTTCTAGATTAAATGAAACTGTTCTATTTTAATCAACAACAATCCGCTTGTTTTAAGAGTTGAACCAGTTTTAAGAGAAAAAATATTAAAATTGAAACGCGAGGTATTTAGTCTGCTACTACGACGATTAACTACGACTCAACATTTCAAGGTCTCGTCAATTACCAAATATGTTTAGCCCGTGTTTCAACCAGTTTAAGATCGGTTTAATAAATTTATATCGTACATAATCTGCAGATATTATTAATGCCAAGGTATACCCATAGATACTCATATCACAAATTTAATGCTTAGTTAAGTTATCATCTAGAAGATGCTCACCTCACATCCTTGTAAATAGCGCAATTGATAAGAATCCTGTTTTTGAAGACGCTGGTGTAAAGAAATGGCCCATGGCATTTATTGGTCCTTTCCTTCACGAGGCAAGCTGATATGACTCCTATGACAACTGCGTTAGCTCCCGACCCATATACGAGAGGGCCTCCATGGTCGTTCTGAAAGTAGTCGCCCCAAGGATGTATAAGACAAAAGTAAACTTGAAGTGCATAGTAACATTGGTGACAAAATGAGGGTATATGTATGCGCTTTACAGTATTGAGTCATTTAAATAAAATAATTAAACGGTTTAAAACGCGATGTATATTAGTTAAAATTAGTCTATTTGAAAATTATTTTAACTACGGCCCGACGTTTTGGATGCTGCATGATGCAAAGCAAGAAGAACATCCGTAGCGTTTTAAACCGTTAAAGTGTTTTGTTTAGATGTGCACTACTCGCGAAAACTACAGACAGTATTTAGTATTGAAGTCCATACTTTTTTATACAAAATATGCCTCCTAGAGCCCTAGGATAACAAATATCAATGTCCACTTGTGGCCTGAAATGGACATCACTATTTATTTAAGAGACAATTCACTACGGAATGTATGAGAAATTAACGTGTATTTTTTTCAATTTAAAAATAATTTATATTAAGTAACTATATTTAAATAACAGTGTTATAAGCACTTATTATTACTTCACAAAAGCCTCCACTGCCAGCTTTCTGACGTCTCCCAGACACGTGGTGTGCGCTGTGAACAAGGGTTTCGTTCGGGTTCACTCGTCTTCCTTCTCCAGACGCGAATTCACCTGAATACATTATATCCGTGCAGTCGGTGTATTTCTCCTATAAAAGATAAGTGTATTATATCCAAAGCCAAAATAATAATACATTCTTTCAGATATATTTGTCTGGTTTTTAGAATTGTTTTTGCAACGCACGCCAGGCGAGCCATGAAATTTGAATAACGTTTTTACCACATTACCTCTGTTTAATCATTCCTATTGGCCACATAATTGATAGCTCTAACACCATAAAAAATAAATTTGAACACAATAGTTCCTGAGATTAGGGAGTTCAAACAAACTTTTCAGCATTATAACATTAGAGACTAATTAAAATGTTTAAAAATTTCGTTCTCACCAGACAAGCCTCGCTCAGCTCCGGTATGGTGTCTTTTGTGCAGATCATGTAGTTATCGATAATATTGTGGTAGCGTGCCCCCCAGCGATGCTTACATCGTGCTTTGGAGACAATAATCACGTTTGTCTCCAAGAGGTCTTGAGTTACACCGCTCCGTTTGTTTACCCACTACAATATAATACTTCTTATGATTTCTTTACTAGATAAGTTAATCAACTCTCCTGTTATATGTCAAACTAGCTGTGGCCGCTACTACGTCCGCGTGGAATAGTTATTTTGGGCATCAAAATTTGTTTTTGCAAACCCCCTTTTAATAAAACCCTTTTTCGGGTTTTATTAGCTGAAATATTTTTAACTTCGGCCCGACGTTTCGGATGCTTTGCAGCGGCCGTGGTCGGGGTTAAAATCTTTTCCAAGGGGGGGTGCTTTCATCTTTATTTAAACTTTAACTAATCGCGTCCATCTATTTTAGCTGTTACCCGCGACATCGTCTGCGTCCCTTAGTTCTTGCAAGTTAATCTTAAAAGATAGACATATACTGTCGCAGACATTTTATTAGATCATTTAAAGACGACTCATTCTTTCATACACATTTTTTTGGAAACCTAAAAAAATACATATTTTCCCCCCGTATTTTAAACATTTCTCCTATTTTTTGCAACGCGATGTTTTATAATCTTTAGCTTTCCCCAATAAATGCTCTAACCAACAAAAAATTAATTTTCGATTCGAAGTAGTAGTTCCCGCGATTAGCGCGTTCTTACAAACGAACTTTTCAGCCATTAGTATAGATATGTAATGCATGATAGTATTTTCGTCGATTTAAGGCTTTTATGTTGAAAACTTAAAAATGTAACTCAAAGCAAATAAAGACGTAGCTATGTGTATGTCATCAAAAAATAACGGCTAAATAGATAGCAAGAACGGTAATAATTCGACGCAGTTATTAATAAAATATCAATTGACGTATATAGTTTACGTTTTAAGCCGTTTAAAATGTTTACCTACGTTATTATACTTATCGGTGCTGCCCCATCCAGCTATGGAAGCTATATTCCCTGGTTCCTCAAGCCGACTCGTCTGGTTATTATAGCAGATGGGTTTGGGGACAAAATCACAGCCCCTCACGCGACGGTTGAAGTCGAAATCATCTTCTACTTTAACTATCGCTATGTCGTTGTTCATCCAACGGATGTTATCGTTTTCGTGGCCATCGAATACGTAGTCTAATAATAACATTAATAAATTAAACACGCCACTATGAATAGAATTAAGAATCTTCTTTTGTGAAGTCGGTTACTAGTAAAAATGTAATTTCTATTGGCTTAGCTTCATCTTTGGTGAAATGCCACAGTTATTTAATATGAGATGTGATTTTTATGACGGCGATGGAAAGTTATATATAACAATCAGACAAGATGCGCTACTGACCCATTTTCAGACGATTAGTAATATGCCAAAAAAATTAGGAATATATTTAAAAATGTAGGGTTTCTTATGTAACTATTATATTAAATTAATTTAATATTTTTCTACCTACAAATTTCCCTTATTAAACGAGACATCAAGATGGCTGCCACTTTTATAAACTCTTGAAAAACTTACTTCGTGGAACACACTTCCAGACAGCTTTTTTAGCGCCATTTTTTATACAGGGATTGCTGTATCGATCGTCTTCTTCACTGTACCTGAAAAATAATGGAATATAATAAAATCTGCCTTTCGTCTACTATAGTGTTTGAAAGTGTGTTTGCTTTACGCTCCACTTCCATTTAGGGACGGAATTTCAATTTTTTAATAAAACACTTAAACGGTTTAAAACGCGAAATATATTCATTCACGGAGCCTACCCGTGATCACGGCTGCTGCATAGTATCCCAAACTCCGGCCCGTCGTTAAACAAGTTTAACACATATATTTCACGTTATAAGCTGTTAAAGTGTTATATGCATACTCGCGATAGTATTTAGAGTGGTAATTCTCACTGAAGTGACTATTGTTTACAGTCACCGTGATTCGAAAAAATTTCGATTTAGTTCAGCGTTTTAAACCTTTTAAAACATACCTATACGTCCCCGAAACGACATAAAAATGTTTTGCGTCTTCTATACAAGCCGCTGACGTCAAGATATACTCGTCATGTATTATAACTCCCCCACAGACCCAACGACGGTAATCTTTGTACCTGGGATTATTTGACGGTAGTTTCAAATATACCTGGAATAAACAAATACCCTTATTATAGACTGTAATTCGTTAAAGACATTAATTTTAAAAGTTAAAACTACCTCCGCATTGAAACAAGTTGAAGTCGCGCCGGTTTACCGTATATGTTAAGCACGCGAGGTCAAAGGTTCGATTTACAGAAAGTTTATTATTTACTTATCGTTCGTGGGAACAGCTAATAAAGATAAAGTGTTATGTAAGTGTGTTATGTATTATCTTACCATGTAAGGCCTATTGTTCCTAACTTCATCACCATTAAGAATTCTTCTAGAACCATTAAGAAGAACTTTGAGTTCGCCGATGTTCGCTTTGCTTATAACATTGTGAACTTTTGGAGGCAATTTTGTAGCTACCTCTATACTTTTTATACCTAAAACATAAATTTGTAGAAACAAGGGCTCAAATTGTTATACACCTCAATATTAAATCTATCTAACTAAACAGACCTAAAATATTAGCTAGGAGCAAACATATAAATACCAACATCTTATCAAAGCATAATCGTCAATTTTTCCAGGTCTAGTACTTACATCATAAAATTATAAATCAATTGATAATTTCATGGTAAGTGAAAGTGATAATTCATGTGTAGGTACATAAATGAAAAAATGTCTGCATGTGTATATACTTAATAAAAATAGGTATTTATTTAATTATTTTATATATAAATACATATATAGTACAAATACATAAGTATATATAATGTTATTTTTTAAAAATCGAAAATAAATTGAAAAAATTTTCGCCCCGGGCAGGACAAGCCCCGGCCCCCTCCTCCTCCCGTGCTTTTTCCCCCCCCCTTGCCCCCCCCGCCCCCCCCCCCCCCTCTTTTTTTTTAAATATATAAATACATGCACCTATAGTACAAATACATGAATTTACCAAATATTTTAATAATACAAGTTATAACGATAAATTATTCTTACAAGTTATGGAGTGCAATGGGCGGCCTTATCGCTATAGAGCGATCTCTTCCAAGCAACCCTTGTGTAAAATTAAATAAGATTTATCATGGGAACGTGCAGGTCATGCGAAGCTTAACAATACACAAAAATAAGTATATACACATAAATTTTGTGAATGGGAGGTACTAAAACCGAAAGTAGTACTTAGTTACAGAAAATACTTTATATTATTTATTTGTCATATACATAACATTCGTATTTAACGTATGTTATGTCGTTTTAATGCGTAACTTTATGCCGTTAATCTTTGAGATATAAAAATGCATATAATATAAAAACTAATTTTTATCAATTTTGTTTTATTTTGCATTAATTAAAATACTTTTCGCGTTGCCCTTTTTATTATCCTTTTCTTAATAGTTGCATTTTGTTTCTGCTTGTCATCTGTGTGTTGTCTTCCCGAGTTCTTTACTTCACTTTTTGCTTTTCTATAAGTTAAAGAAAGATTAGAAATATGACACTTCTAACATATTGGTTTGATTATACTTCAACCTTTTTTTTACAAATGTAAAATATGTTTATTGCTTTATTATTGTATAGGCGTTGAATGGTAATTTGTTGTTATCAAGATGTAGAATAACTTACCCATCAGGATGGCTCAGCCAGTTGAACATGGTCTCCAACATTCGGGTCTTTGTTGTTCTCAACAATCTCTTACAGGATGCTCTGTAACAAGTATATTGTAAGTAAATACTGTCTATAGTTTATGCGAGTAGTACACATTTAAATAAAACACGTTAACACGGTTTAAAACGCGATATATTAGTTAAAATTGTTTTGAAATGATTTTTAACCTTAGATTCACTTTTTAACTAAAGTGTTTTATTTAGTTATATTGTAAGTATTCAAGAACAAAATAACAATTTAATTTAAAAAGTTTTAACAGTTCAAAACTCGAAATATATTAGTTATAGCTTATTTAATAAATAAATTATGATAACGAAAGGCAAGCATGGATTCACTAGATGATGATACAGAACAAAAAACCCAAATGGTAAAAAAATCGACGATGACGTGTAGGACGCTGTAGATACCGGTTCAAGTCCTGCCCGAGACGTATTTTTTTTTATTCAATTTATAATCGATTTTCAATGTTTACACTTAGGTCATGTTTGTGATAAATAACTACATACCCCATGTCCTTATTAATAGCACAGCCAATGAGATGCCTGTTCTTCCATACACTGGTGTACAAGTATGGCCCATAGCACTTTTGAGTTATGTTGGCTGTCTGACAGGCTGAGATAATTCCCACTATCACAGATCCTGTACCGTACCCCACCACTAGTGGGCCACCGTGATCATTCTAAAAAAAATAGTGTACGAGCTTAATATTTGATCTTCTTCAATACTGTCTGTAGTTTACGTGAGTTCAAAGAGGGAAACACGAATCTACCCAACCCACACTCCGCTCCCTGTGACCACGGTTGCTGCAAAGCATCCGAAACGTCGGTCCTAGTTAAAATATTTATTTAATAAGTTTTACTAATATATTTCGCGTTTTATATTGTTAAAGTCAACGGACTAGGTTGTAAATGAAAAATTGACGCTTTCAAATATAAGTTCGTTTAATAAGAATACTGTCCAAATATTTTCTTAATGTAAAATTTTCGTTTCGGATTTCGTATAAAATATAATTACTTCGCGTTTTAAACAGTTAAAATATTTAGTCTATGGTATGGATATGGCTCGTGTAAATGGTATTTTTATAAGTAATGAATAGAAAAAAGAAAAAACAGAGATTCTATAAACGACCCTTATTATACATATAAACAATTTAAACATCTTTTTTGTTCAAGATGTTGGAAGTTTGGAATTTGGATGTGTTCAACAAAATCTCTCACCTCGCAGAACCCTCCTGATATAACTTTCGATCTTCGTGTAGCGTTATGCCGTGACGAATGGACGGTCAATAACTCAGGTTCGATGACAAAACGTCGTGTTTCCTCTGCTTCGTCAGAATACACAAGTTCCTTGCAACTTATTTCTTGTTCCTAAAAATGTTAATGTTAAAACGTTATATGATTGTAAGAGAGGTGTCTAACAGTCTGACAGGGTTTTGCTGAAAATCAGTGTTGTAGCATAACTGTGCTGCAACTTGGACTAACGTATATTATACCCTACCCTTTTATGTATAAATGTACTTTTTACATATCTACCTTACATAAATCGCTCATATCATCATCGGTACTGTCTTTAGCGCACACCATGTTACCATCAATGATGTGGTGGTACCGCTCCGGCCAACGACTCTTGCAGTTCTTCTTCGATATCAACATTACATCAGTTTCTAATAGATCCGGAGAGTTTTCAGACGTTCGGCCGTACACCTAAAAATGTTTCTTAATTACTATAATTTAAATATCCAAAGAAACTTGTATCCACGTGCATCGCTGTGGAATAGGAGAGAAGAAACAGCGGGAAATGTGAAAAAAAACTGATAGATCCGTGAAACTTTCATCCATGTGGGTTTCCGCTGCGAAAACGCTTCAAGATACGAATGAAACATCTATGAACGAATTCCTCTTTCAATGATGTAAAAAAAATCCGCGACACTAGATATGCTACTTGCAAGAACGACGGGACGCAGATGACGTCTTGAGTGACATCTGAAATTTATAGAGGTGAACAGGTTTGCAAAACCAATTTGGACGCCGAAAATAACTATTCTATGCGGACGAAGTCGCTGGCACAGCTAGTTAAATGTATAAACGTACATCGCCAAAGTTACCAGTGGATCCCCAGCCAGCGATAGAAGCAACAGTTCCTGGGCTCTCGAGATTTTCCGACTGGTTATTGTATGCTATCTTCTGGGGGACGAAGTCGCAGCCACGAATTCTCCTCTCAAAGTTGAAGTTATCTTCTACTCGGACCACCGCTATGTCGTTGATCATCCAGCGGATGTTGTAGAATTCGTTGCCATCGAACACGTAATCTGTAGAAGGTATTTTTTATTCCTAAGTTTGGGGGCAGAGAAATAACACCTTTTCTCAGGGACCTCTGTCGTACGTAAAACAAGTTGTGTAAGCAACTACATTTATATAATTTTGTACTATACCGCTAGATTATTATTGAATTATGGATATATAAAGATTATAATGATTGTCGAATGAATTTAAACAAAATTTTGCCATGTCTATATGTAATATTTTATCACACAAATCTTATTTTTAATGTTTATCGTTAATGACAATACGTAAAGTATATATGTAATATCTTTAAAATCTTACTTTTGTGTTTGTATTTGTGTTTAGCAAAACACTGATAATAATTTTTATCTAAAATTCTATGTCTCTATTATATACATAGTCTATAGGGTACATTTATTTCATCTTACTCTGTGGAACACACTTCCAGACTGCTTTTTTTGGCACCATTTCTAATGCATTCGTCGTTAATATCTGTCGGAATCCACCTAAAATATATATCTTCATTAAATGTATCTTATTCGTATTTTAAAAATTAGTAAAAAGATCCTCAGAAGGTTTTAAAGTAACCCATATAAAAAAATAGTCTGGTTCTAATTTACCCACCTCCATTCGAGACAGGCTTGTTAGTCAATGGAAGTGGGTAAGTGGGATCGATCAGAAACCTGGACTAATGGGTAGATAAAATCCTAAGTTTAATCTTTGATTCTATTCGACACATTTAGTTTAAATTTTATATGGCTGGGGTATTTCGCCCTCCATCAAGTGAATCGTATGCTTGTCTGTCTTCTTCGAATTCTTTTCGAACTTCGAAATAACCTGTGAGTCCCGGATACCACGTAAAAGTGCTTAACGTCCTCTATACAAGCGGCAGACGTTAAAATGTACTGTACATGGACTATAACTCCGCCGCAGAGCCAGTTGACGTCTACCTTCGCTTCCGTGGTTGCTGGGCGAAGATACACCTACAATATAAAGAAGCTTTTGAATAGTTAATACAACCACACCACTTACAACAGACACATATCTGTATACATTTCACTGTTGTTGACAATATGACCTTCCATGTACTCGTAGTTCAAAGAACGCACGTTTTTATTTTTACTAATGATTCAAACCCAGGACCCTCTGTCTTTTGCTTAGCTAAAAGACATCGTGTTAAATTTAACTAATATATCGCTTTTAAAGCGTTAAAGTGTTTTATTTAAAAGACATCGTGTGGTTTAAGGTTGGAGTACAAATAACGTAGACATTACGCAATTTGCGATTGTATTTTGTAATTTTTTTTTATACATCTGCATTCATTTCACTGATCGATTATATATTTGTTGACAATAAGGCCTTCTATCTAGTTCCAACAAAACACATTTTTACCAACGATTAGAACCCAGGAATTCTCTAGTTTGTTTAGCTAGAAGTTATCGTGTCATTCAAAGCCCGAGAACGAATAAGACTTTAAAGAATGTTGCCCAAAAAATAGTAAAAATTTACATTCAAGAAAATTAATACCTACTTATGTAATTGTTATTTATTTATTACCATATAGGGCCTGGTGTCTCCAACTTCACTACCACGGATGATGCGTCTTGTCTGAGACAAATGTCTTATAATACTATCATTAGTTGGAATGCCAGATACTAAAATCAGAATTTGAATATACAAGGCTAAAAAAGTTTGAAAAATAGCCCATTAAGTTAAAATAAGAAGATTTCTATTTCCATACCTGATCCAATAAAATATAGACAAAACAAAATTATAGAAAAACACGTCATTTCGTTGTAACTCATGTTTCTACACGCATGAATTATAAGCAATCAATATAAGTATTGGCAAAGCAATTACTTAGAAACATTCCCTGAAAATATTCTTACAGTGTTAATAGCGACATCTGGTACGTCATAGAAGGAGTACGTTTAATTTATTTAGTTCCGCCACTCGACGCTAGATGCCACTGTTAAAAAATAAAAATTTTCCGCCGCTAGATGTCAGAGTAATATTTGTCATTAAAAATAAATGATTTGGGTTGGTTAAACGGTTTTCTAAATTTTGACAAACAAAAACAAAAATAATGAAAGAGTACCTCTTATATTAATAATACTAGAAAAATATTACTATACGCTTGGAAAAGTATTTATGTAAAGTTCAGTGGTTAGTTTATTTTATATGAGTTTTAAGCCAATTGGCGGAATGCATAACTAATGTTTAAAAATCATAACCTTTAGTCAAATAATTATGTTTCTAGTGGTCAAGGTGTTTTAACTTAATAAGAAAAGCTGTCTATAGTTTACGCAAGTAGTACACATTTAAATAAAACACTTTAACGGTTTAAAACGCGATATATTAGTTAAACTTATTTGAAAATGATTTTTAACCCGACGTTTCGGGTGCTTTGCAGCAGCCGTGGTCACAGGGACGCCCCGTTACCACGGCTAAAGTTAAAGTGTTTTATTTAAAAGAAAAGTTGAAAAAAGTAATAAGTATGTTTTATTTTGTGATGGAGGTAAGCCATATTTAAAAAATAATTAAATTTCATTCTACACTAAATAAATTTCTGTATTACCTAAATATATAATTTATCTGGTACAAATAGTACTTGCATGTATATTTTTATAGAGTCGTGTCGTATCGTATATGAGATCTAATTATAGCAATCTTGATGTTATTGGTTATAAGGATTACTTAAATGCAATAATAAGGTACCTACTATGCAATGCCTATATACGAATTACGTACAAATTACATATTAGATACGTGACGTTCATTTTAGGATTTGTTTTTATACACATATTTGTCTCTAATTGCCTAGACTACTAAATACAGCTTAGTTGAGTTTTAACCATACTCTACAGATAATCATTATACGGGAATTTAAATATTGTCTGTAGTTAACGCGAGTAGTAGGTACGGAAATCAAACACTTATTCATGATTTAAAATGTGAAACATATATAAGTAGCATCTGCAAAGCACCCGAAACTTCGCGTCGTAGTTAAATTAAATAAAAAATAAGTTAACTACTACACTTCGCGTTTGAAACCGTTAAACGTGATTAATTAAAATTTTATTTCGTTTATGTTTACTAATAAGTGTGAACACATATCTCGAAGATGGCTACATGAATTTATAATATTAGCGGTAAAATGCAAAATAAGTCACCAACTGGATACTAATAAATTGTATTTATTATTATCTAATTTTATTTACTCTCATATATTACTTTTTAGACGGTAAGTGAAACTTCAGATCTTATATATCATAAAATGAGACTATAATTTATTCCCAATTAAAATAAACTTTACTTATTATCAAACAAATACGATTATCCCAACAAAATAATTAATCTACAAAATCCAAGATGGCTGTCATTCACGAGCGAACAATACGCTTTAATGTTAAAGCCTCGGCTTATCTGTGCAACCACAATCTAACACCCTTTACCATTCGAACTGTCAAAACCAATAGAATAAAACAGTTATCTCCACAATACATTATTACTTATCTCAATAACGTGAAACTCGGGTCCTATTTTATTATAAAGTGCATTGTCTATAACCCACTCGACCGTCGAACATAAATAATTTAACTGTCTTAAAAGATTCAAAAATAGTTCCTAACATTGCCCCCCTAATATGTACACCATTTGTCAGACTATAAGTCCATAACTGGATTTAAACTGCGCTTTTCGGGACACGCCCATTGATATATATAACTATCTCTCTCTTATATGTACGTTTAATATCGCTACATTTACAGACATCTCGCTCTACCAAATAATCGACAATGTGTTTACTTTGAAACGATCGGAGCAACAACATCCTAACTAACGTTACTTGCTAACGCAATCTCAACTCTACGGCCATCAACAAGAGATGAAATCCACGTAAGATCAAAACAAGGGGTGAAGAGGAAACGGGACGGAACGATGCGAGCTATTCAGCTAAAGTTACTGAGTCCAAACGAGTTTTTATGTTTGGAAATCGTATTAAGCTTTTGTCGGAAACAGTTCCACTCAACGAGCATAGTCGAGTTGCGGACAAACTATCGATAGGTGGGGTCACCGATTGTCAATCGGATTATTTTACGCGCGAATTGTGTTTAACATGTCCCTGTGAACATTAGTGCTAGTGAAAGCAAAATGTCGTCTATACACTCTGATGATGATCAAGAGGAGATCAACGTAGATTCAGATAGCAGGCTATCTGGACATTGCGACAGGAGTATAGGCTCCGAGGATCACGATTCAGATTACAATGATAGATATCGAGACTCGCCGCACATTACAGAAACACAACAACGTGTGAATCTACCGTTTAGCATATCTAGATTACTAGGGAAGCAATTCGAAGATCTAGAGAAACGTAATTCTGGTGAAAGTGACGAGAGGAGTGAGGACACGGAGTCGGAAAGTGCAAGAGACGATGGAAAAGACAATTTAGCGTTGAATTTCAGTCATAATCCCATGTATACGAATTCTGGATTGTTATTACGACCTGGACTGGGTATTGGCGGTGGTTATGGCTTCTCCAGTAATCCTGGGGTTGTGAGGGTTCCAGCACATAGGGCTTTGGGTGCGCTTGGTGCTTGGGGTGTGGCTTTGGATCCCATGAGGCAGGCAGCAGCTGCGGCGTTCGCGCATCAAGTTGTCAAGGACAGGTTAAATGGTACGTGAAATTTCATTTCTTTTCCGAATAAACAAAAGAATCTTTATTCATTTAAATAAAACAGTTTAACGGTTTAAAACGCGATATATTAGTTTAGTCTCCCCGTGACCACGGCTGCTGCAAAGCATCCGAAATATCGGGTTGAAGTTAAAAATCATTTTCAAATAAGTTTAACTTATATATCGCGTTTTAAACCGTTAAAGTGTTTTATTTAAATGTGTACTACTCGCGTAAACTATAGACAGTATTTAATCTTTAATCATTATAATTTTTCTTTTTGATTAAACGGACCATAAAAGAACGGACGATGGATGTCGAACGAGTTAGGAGATAGTTATCTATATCTTACATGTGATGCAAAGTGTAATTAATATACTTATTAAGTCCTTGCGTCTCAAAACATAATAAAAGATTTTAGGTAGGTGCCACATGTCCTAAAATCATGTAGTAGTGTATATATATTATACATATAAGAGAATATTTTGTGTAGTTATTAATGAAAAGAAAATAAAGTTAGTATTAATGAAAAGAATATAATGGGTGTGATTATGTTTTGCTAAGGTCATGAATCTCATAAATCTGTTAAGATGCATCAATTCTAAATTACGCGATAAAGCCGTGAAATATTGCATTCAGAAAGTGGAAGAGAAATTCTGCTTCATAAAATTGTCAAACGCAAAAACCAAATGGCTTTTAAATTTCCAATTGTAATCTCGAAGCGATAAATCACTTTAAGTATGCACCTATGTAAATCGTATCTGTAACCGAAAACAGATTAAAAATAAACAATCTTTTTTTTCAATCCTCGAAAAGTGGCAACAAAATTACCTGTTGCGTGTGTCACACTATCAAAGGAGTTTTTACAAACTAGGTTTTTTTCTTTTTTTTTTGTCGAGACGCCTACGTTATAATTTGTCGCGCCGAGCGTCGCTCAACGCAATTTGGACCCATCGTGGTGTTTGAAAAAACATTGTTTTTACATTGTAGGTAGCCGATTGGTAAACACGTTGAAGGGTGAACAATTTCTTTACACATGACAAACTGTATAGTGATTAGAAACTTGTATAAAGTTACATTATTTCAAGTTATGAATTGAGACTATCAAATATAGCATAATTTTTTATATTATTTATTGCAACTAAGTAGACTCATTGTTACTTTACTGTAGAAAGAAATCGAATTTATCACATTTATTTACTCGACATGATTATTATTATGTTTATTAAGTAGGTTTCTTATGATTACCAACTTTGACCATAGACAACATTCATAAATAATAAAATGTCTAATTGGGCAGTTTTTATTCTCAATCCGACGCGTGTAGACCTCCCGTGGCGATTCTCGACCGCAAAGGAAGTGCGGACGCCCGCAATTGAGACAATAGTAGCGTAAATTGCCAAACGGAAACACGGAAATCCTTTGTCATTTTAGCGCCAATAATTTGACAGATAATATTTGAAATTAGAACATCCGTCCAGTCGGGTCCTTTGATTTTGTCTACGCTTAACTACAGAGTATGTACAAATGTCTTTCGGGTATTTATAATTACGTGAAATCGACAACCGACTTTACATTAGAATGAAAATTCGTAAATGTATTGATTTAAGTAATAATAATAATAATTTTTTTACTGTGACCGATTTTCAATTCGGAATTTATCTATATATTATTCTATCGACGAGTAATATTTAATCTACCTATATTATATTAAAACACACTAAAAACTATATTGGAGGACAGACAAAAATTTGGTTCACTTGATAGCAGTTCAAATACCACAGCCATAGAAAACCACCCACATATGCTAACATTCTTTGATACAGAAAAAAATATAATTAGTCGATATATTTCATAATACAAACATACGTTTATATATACGTATATAAACTCGAATTTAATGTAAATTATTAAGCTCTAAGTTAAGCAAAGATTATAATGAATTTCTTGTAAATAAACAATTTACATCTACCACTGCAGGTCAAACGCTTTTATATAATCTGGTGACATAAAATCTACTTTAATCTGTGTAAATCGAGACAATTGTCAGTTTTGTCATCTGGAGCGTGTCTGAATAGGTCTGCATTTCCGTTTTGCGGTCACTTAGCTGCTCAACATGAAAGTGATAAATGAGGAATTGTTTAAACTCTTTTTGTCTTGGAAAACAAGTTTCGCAATGGTATGAAAATAAATTATTGTTTGCATCAGTTTTTATTTCTTTCAATCAAATGTTTTAACAATAAAAATCTTTAAACGACTACATATTGGCAAATTTATTAAATTTAAAAAGCTATTTATATATGGGCAAAAAATCTTTCAATATCACGGATGCGCAAGAGATTGTCAGTTGAAATTTGATGTAGCTCATGTGTTGTTTCAATAATAGACGTGTAGTACACATACGTAGTTCCTACAGTTTCTATAGTATTTATTGGTATAATAAATACATACTAAACACATAATCTTCTATGTCAGATAAGTTACGATTATAATCTTTAATTGAATTATTTTCGTAATCAAAATTCAGAAGTGGAAGGTTATAATGCAAAAAGTTTTTTGTCTATGTAGTGCATTAAAGTTGAGCAAACAAACTTCTGTTAAAATTTCGAAGCCAAAATATCTTTACATAAAACACTTTAACGGTTTTAAACGCGATATGTATTAATTAAACTTATTTGAAAATTATTGTGACCGTCTCTCCGTGGCTGCGGCTGATGCAAAGCATCCGAAACGTCGGGCTGTAGTTAAAATAATTCAAATAAGTATAACTAATACATATCGCGTATTAAACCGTTGAAGTGTTTTATTCAAATGTGTACTACTCGCGTAAACTACGGACTGCATTTAGTTAAATCTTATTAGTTTTGCCGTATATTCGGCTAATCGGTATATGTACTATTCGTCACAAGCCTTCTCTTAACATTATATAAGAATTGACGCGTTAAGAATACGGTCTTATCTCTCGTAAAAATAGACAATGCAATATTTTAAGACCAATAGACTGAATAATAAGTGCAATAGTCTTGTAATGGTTACAGTTTCCTGTTGTAAGACCGCAATTTTACTTAATAGGGTTTTATCTAACGAATCGTGGATAGTTGAGTGCCCTCATTCTAAATGACTTCTATTACTGACATTACAATAATTGGCAAGCTGTATAATTTTAGAAAATGGCCTCTGAAGCTAAATGATTTGACGTGTAGCGTTGCGTTAAGCGAGAGAGGTTCGAATCTCTGTGAAACAAAAGATTGTTTCGATCGGGCAGGGTACAGAAGACTGATCAACAACTTCACTAAATAAAACCGAACAGCGAAACGAACACAGATATGTATTACAATTTCACAATTTTTAATAATAAACTTAATCACCGTAATTATTATATTGACAAAACGAAAAATCTTTATCTTTCAGTTTAGCATTTACTTTAACTTTGGAACCCTTCGGAATTTACCTATCAAAGTAAGAAGGTAAATCGTCTTCTTAGTTCAGTTATGTGTCAAAATAGGCTGCCGTTCCACGACCCAATAAATAAATCAATTAAATATTATGTGTGAAATCCCGTTTCCCCCTCGTGGGGCATGGGGCGAATACATTTTCGTGTACGTTTCACTGATCCGTTCTTTAACAGGCAAGTAGTTGATCAGTGCCTTGCCTGACCAGAACAAGTTACCCTGGGATTCGAACTCAGGACCTCTCACGCTTAACGCAATGCTAGGCAATTTAACCATTTGGCTACAGAGGCAGTCTTATGGTGGAGAAATATTATGTACCAATTATAATTATTTCTTTAAATAGGAGTACACAGAAGGCACTACAGAGCTATGAAGACGGTTCTCTTTACTTATATTAAATAAAAATATAAAGTGATATCCTTGCTTCTTATTATTATTATGTATTAATTATCTTAGGCGTATTCTGTAATCGAACAAAAAGTCCGTTATCAACACTCCAGCATTTAATTCTTTGCTCATTTACCATGAAGCACGACTACATAATATTATGACAGTACAACAAAAGCCTTGAATTATGTGGTTTTTAAATTTAGCTGCAAAATGAACCTTAATTTTTTACTATTAAAGTATAATTTGCCGTAACACTTGTATCCTTTTGTACAACCGCGTGTAATAATATAATTATTTCGTAATATAATAAAATTCGCTTCAATTCGCTGTAACTACGTAATTATTTTGAGTCGGCGGATTTAGGTCAGATTATATTTATTAGGATAATAATTCATTGTTACCAAAAAGGTTTTGTTTAATCAATATTTCATTTATATAATGAAAGACTGAAATTCCGAATATCCAAAGCTAAAAAAGGTCGACAGCCCATATTGTTTAGGTGTTATATAGTACTTGTATTTAACCTTACATCCACCATACCATGGCTGCTGCAAAAGCATCCGAAACGTCGGCCCGAAGTTAAAAATCATTTAGTCCATCAGTATTACTAATATATCGCGTTTTTAACCGTTAAAGTGTTTTATTTAGTAATATTTACTACTCGCGTAAACTATTGACAGTATTTCCCTCTCTTCATCGCTTCCCCTAGTCTAGAATTATTTAACTCCGTATCACTGTTTTTTTTTAACAAAAAATTAATTAAAAAATATGTGTTGTATGGAGGCGTGGTCTGAGTTTTTTGGCATTTGTAAGTGCGAACAAAATACACAAGACATAAATTATATTGCGCCTATCTCTCTGTATTCATATGCTGTTTGTTAAACGTATTCAACGGTCAGGTTTGTGAAATATATCAGCACTTACTCCTAGTGGGGTCATATCTATGTGTCATACGTATTCAAGCAACAAAGAAACTACTGTAATTTTTCTTTATCCCTCTCTTTCTTTCTTTACTATCGTTTATCAAGTTTTTTAGTACTTTCCAGTGATAAGAATTTTAGAAAAATACTGTCTGTAGTTTACGCGAGTAGTACACATTTAAATAAAACACTAATGGTTTAATCGCGATATATATTAGTTGAACTTATGTGAAAATTATTTTAACTACG